TCGTCAGAGCCCCAGACCTGCAAAGGCTGACCCTGACCCTCTCCGGGAAGGAGCTCATTCATGCCCAGCCCGGAATACAGACTGGGCACGCTCAGAGATGACCGTGGACAACTGGCCGTGAGAGGAAGGCCTCTTAGGAGACAGGCTGGTTGCTGCTGGTTGTGGGCTGCTCTGGAGAGAAGGCACCTGGATGGGCCTTGAAGGATGATGCAGATCTGCAGAGGGATAGAAATGCCATCCCCAGGCTTTGGGGCCCTGGTTCCTGGTCCTGTATTTCTTCAACTCGGGGGCTTACCGTTCACCTAGCACTGCTGTTTTAGAGGAAAAGGGGAGCGTTTCTCTGCTTTCTTGGTGCTTCTCCTACTCCCCCTCCTGCACCCCCCCATCCCCACCATCACCCATCTGTCTGGCCCATCAGTTCCCAGCGGCAGGGACCACAGGCCTGTGTCCGATGGCATTCTGCAGCTCTCATTCACCCAGGGCATCTGAAGTCCCTGCATCTAGTGGAATCATCACCAAGTCCCACGGCCAGGCCTGCTACTCGTCTAGAGCCGCCCGCTGCCCCTTGGCCAAGCATGGTGGAACAGGAGGCAGGGGTCGTGATCCAGAGAAACCTCTCTGACTCCTTGGGAACGGGATGACAGATAACAAATACTTTGACTTGAACATACGTGGATTTGAGCCCCAGTGCCATTAGCTACTATGGTTGGGCCTCAGAGCCCATTCCCATGCTGTCTGTGCCTTTGCAGGGTGGCGGGGAGAATTGGAGGTGGCAGGGCACAGGGTCCTGCGTGGCCCCCACCCCCGCCGCCTGCGGTTCTTGTGCCCTTGCTGAGCCTGACCCCAGACCCCACCCCCTCCCCATTACCCAGGGGTCCCCCGAATTCCAGTGGAGCCCAGGAGCCCCGAGGAGAGGCAGTGGTCTCCGCTCCTCCGGGGGTGGGGTTACACAACAGAGGACACAGCCCACTTCTCCCCCGGCCCATGAGCCTGGCGAGGCGGAGGATCAGGCTGGCACGGGTCAATAGCTCCAGCTACTACCACTCGAGTCTGAGGTCTCTAAGTGGACACCCCCACCCTTGGCCCATCCTGGGCCCAGCAATCCAGCCAGTCAGCCCTAGCGGTGGGCCTGATGCAGGCACCTCCTGAGCCTCCTCACAACCTCGCCCCCAGCAAGCCCGCCCCCACACCCTCGTCCTCCTCATCTGCCCTGCCTCCCCTCCTGGGTCCCCTTCCACTGTCCTCCCCACCGCTTGCACTTACTCCATCTCTGGCGTGTTGGGCCAGCGATGGGCATGGCCTCCCCATGGCCTCCCCTGCGGGACAAGCACAGGCTCCTTAGCAAAGCAGAGCAAGCCTCATTGCCTGCCTGATCTTCACTTTGCAGTTCTGGCCTCGGATCTCCCCCCACCCCCTCCCCTGTGCTCCGTGCGCCCCGAGGTACTGTGCTTTCAGCGCTGAGTTGTCTGAACATCTCTCTTCCTTTTCCTAAAGTGCCTCTGCCTCTTCCCCGCGAACTCCTATTCATCCTCAGGAGCCAGCGTATAAATTCCTCCTGCAGATCACCCCTGAGCTTGTGTCGTGGCGCCTTCCTGATCCTTGGACACATTCCTGAATCACTTCTCTTCTCACCCTGTGTATTCACGGCCCCCCCTCCCCAGACATGGCACTTCTGGAAAGACGGGGGACCTCATCTCGGTCAACTTCATCTCCCCAGAAACAGGCACGACACTCTTTACCCTTTGGCCCCGGTACATATTTGCAAGCTTGCTTGAAAATAAACCAAAGCTGTTTTCCAGGAATCCGGGCAGCTTTGGGGAATCACTGAGGATGTGAAACTGAAGACACACTGGAGTTTTAGTGCCTTTTTCTTTTTTGTAAGCGGAAGTAGCAGCAGTAACAGCCTGGAAGGGATCAGAAGGTCAGGAAAAGCGCAGCTTGAGATCCTAGCTGCTTCGCAAGGCCCGTTCACTTTTCCACATCCCCTGTAGCTGAGTTCAAGGCTCGGTGTCATTTCCTCAGATTTATCCTTTGTTTTCCCTGCTTTGACTTCTTTAAACTCACTGCTTTTTAGCTTGTCGAGTTCCTGCAGCCAACAGGAAAGTCCTGAATAGCTGTTCAAAAAAATACTCAAAACCAAACAAAAACAATCTTGCCTTGCCCTACTGCACCTCTTCCCAGAAGCCTTCCAGGCCTAGGAGTCTCATCCCTATGTAAATCTCATCCCTCGGGCTGGTCTCACTCTGCCTCTGTGCTTGCACAAGGCAAGAAGCACACTGTCTGGACCCATTTTACTTTCCTGGTTGGTTTAGGCCAAGGGCCCAGCTAAGTGCTGGGCACATCCTGAGGTCCCACCGTCTTGACTGGTGGGCTCTGGGAGCTAGCTTTTGCTGGCACCCTTTCAAACCCCACTCCATTAAGAATCTAATTGGTTTTAAGTAGACTCGGCAAAGGCCAGTGGCCTCTTGCAGACCCACTCTTTCAATACTGAGGAATAGGGCCAGAGACTCTGCTGTTGGCCCAGGGCCCTTTCCTAGGCAGAACTACCCAAATGTGGCTTCCTTCTGGCCTTATCTGGACTCTCACCATCTATCCATCTCTTCACTGCAGAGATGAGGGCCACCTTCCAACCCACCCTCCAAGCCGTTGGCTGCATGCAGCATCTGGGCTGCTGGCTGCATTTTACCTTCACTTGGCTTTTGGCAAACCAGATGGGAGTGGACACACAGCCCTCTGGGGAGCTTGTTTCGTTCTTCATCCTTTACCAGGATGGAGCGTGGAGCTTTCTCTGCTGCTTCTCTGGCTTTGGCAAACTAGAGTTTCCCTCGGGAGCACCCTTGCCAGGAAGAGAGTGCTCTGATTATGCGAGGCAGCGCACACCCATGTGGGCGAGTTGGCTGACCCTTGTATTTGATCTGATAGTAACGTGAGCTGGCACTGCCTTCCTCTGAAACAAGCAAATCATCACCCCCATCTCTTCTTCCAGCTCTCCCAGCAATGGCAATATTCATTCCAGGGAGTCTAGATTTATAGGAATGGGGTTCAAAGGCTATGACCGTACTGAGGTCCAAGGAGGGTTGGAAGAGAAAGAGGCTACTGGGCTCTCCCTTAGAACTAGGAGAGCATGAGGGCTTCTTTCTCAAATGAAGGGAGTAAGAAGATAATCTAGGGCTCTTGTTCCATTCTGGGGAGCTAGGCTTTTGGGGGATGTCGGAAGGATGCCCTACATGGATGGAGGCATCCAGTGGGGTGTTGCCAGTAGCTTGGTCTTAAGAGTCAGACAGCAAACGGGCTCTCTGCCCCGGGCCATGTGGGACATTTTGAGCCTTCTCTGGGCCATTAGGCCCATGTCTGCAAAGTGGGCATAATTGTGCTTATCTCTTCAACTTGTTGTGAACTGGTAGGTGCCTAGTGAAGTCATTCATTTATTCATTCATCCCATAAACATTCATTCAACACAACAGTGCAGGTGCCAAAGATGTAGTGTAGGATAGACGTCCTCTCATCGAGCTAGTAGATTTTGTCATTTATAACTTTGTGAAATGGGCAGGGCCTATGTGGTCTTCTTTACTTTCCAGATGAGGAAATGAGTTTGGAGAGTTTGTGTGACTGCTCAAAATTCCCACAGCAGGTGATACGGAACAAATCAGGACTTCTTGGCTGCCATCTTTGGGAGCAGGGCCCCAGATGTGGGCTCTGACACTGCATCCAGACCTGCGATCGATTCTCAGTGTTGGCTGCACCCTGGAATTACCTGAGAAGGCTTCAGAACTGCTGATTCGTGGGGCACCTGGGTGGCAATGTCAGTTAAGCATCCAACTCTTAGTTTCAGCTCAGGTCATGAGATCGAGTCCCACATTGGGCTCTGCATTCCACGTGGAGTCTACTTGGGATTCTCTCTCCTCTCCCTCTGCCCCATTCATATTCTTTCTTTCTCTCTCTCAAATAAATACATCTTTTAAAAAAGAAAGAAAAAAAAGAACTACTAAGTCCTGGGTTCTACTCCCAGAGATTCTGATATCATCGATCTGGGATGTGGTTCAGGTATCAGGATTTTTTAAAGCTCTCCAGGTGACCCAATGTACCAGGGTTGGAAAGCACAGGGTAGAAGCTCAAGAAGCTGGCTGCCATTACTGAGCATGTTTTGGAGAGCCAGCTGGGCAGCAGAGCTAAGATGACCCCATGAGCAAATACAGTATCCTATTCTTAATAGAGATTAGATCACAGATAATAACAACAGCAGCAGTGGTGAATGCCCTGCTCCTACACTGTTGTCCTCTGCACTAGCATCTCTGCAAGGTGGCTCCAGTGAGAAATTGAAAGGCACTTCTACAATGGTGGAGCCAATTTGGTACCTTGAGTCCCTGGGACCAGGGCACTTGGCCAGCTTGGGAGTGAAGCTGGACTCAGTTTTAGTTGAGGTGGCTTATTGTCTGAAGAAACTCAGGAAGGTTTTATTTTTCTGTTTGCCCAGCTGTGGCTTCTGATGGGTCATCCATTTTTCTGTGGGGACAGCATAATCACTGTTTTATCTCCTTGGAGTGACTGTGTTTCTGTCCTTGGGGAAAGATGAATAAGTGGGTCAACCACAGCATTTCATTTGATGGTTATAGGTTTGATCTGTGTTCAAGTTCCCCAAACCCGGAACTGTCCTGACGGACTTTTTATCAAGTAAGAAATCCTGTTTCCGGACTCATGGCCTGATGGGCTTGACTGGGCCGTCTTGGCCACTGCCACTCCAGCAAATGGTAGACCTACTGCTTAGGCCGAGGTCAGACATCTCAAATCCAAGGGTCTGTTTTCCTCTCCCCAGGACCCTAGCACTGAGAATCTCACCTTTTGGCTGGGCCTTCCAGGTGCTTCCAGGCTTACCCCAGACCCCTCCCACTTGGGACCATAAGCTCCGTGGTGAGGTGATGCAGGATCTGAAGGTGTATCTGAGCTGGGTATTTGGAGAGAAGGCAGTGGCTATAAAGGGGGGTTCTCTTTTCTGTTTCTAGCCTTGGAGCAGCTGTTGACAGAGCTGGATGACTTCCTCAAGATTCTCGACCAGGAGAACCTGAGCAGCACAGCAGTGGTGAAGAAGAGTGGCCTGGCTGAGCTCCTCCGACTTTATACCAAAAGCAGCAGTAAGTGTGGCCTGAGGGCCTTTAAGAGATCCCCATGGAAACAGAAGGGTGGTCCTGCTAGGGCCGCCATAACAAAGTCCCACCGACTGGATGACTTAAACAATAGAAATTTGATTTCTCAGAGCTCTGGAGGCCAGAAGTCTGAGATCAAAGCATTGGGCAGGGTAGGTTCCTTCTGAGGCCTCCCGGTTTGGCTTATAGATGACCGTCTTCTGTCTGGGTCTTCATAACATCTTCCCTCTGTGTATGTGTCCGTGTCCAAATCTCCTTCTTACGAGAACACCGTGTTACTTACCTCTTTAATGACCCCTTCTCCTACTGCAGTCACATTCTGAGGTTTTCAGGGCTAGGACTTAATACATGAATCTGGTGGAGCGGGGAAACACAATTCAGCCCATTGCAATAGTGTAGGAGTGATGGGACGTGGATGGGAGCCCAGAAATCTCTGAATGCTCAACACAGCAGCCCTGAGTGTGGTTTTAAACAAAGTGTTTTCAAAGCACTTATTCAAAGTGGAGAAGGGCAAATACATCATTCCAATAATAGCCAGCGCTTCATTGAGTATTTCCCACCTGCACACATAGTATTTGGTTTCATCTTCAAGTCACCCCTCTGAGGCTGGTGCTGTTGTTACAGATGAGGATGTTACAGATGAGGCCTGGAGAGTTTAAATTACTTGCCTGGTGTCTTATGGCCCAAAGGAAAACACAGTTTTAAGGTTGTGGATCACAGAACTCTGAGTGCAGAGTTGTTTTTTTTTATATTTTATTTATTTATTTATTCATGAGAGACACACAGAGAGAGAGAGGCAGAGACACAGGCAGAGGGAGAAGCAGGCTCCATGCAAGGAGCCAGATGTGGGGACTCGATCCCCGGTCCCCAGGATCACACCCTGGGCTGCAGGCGGCGTTAAACCGCTGCGCCACCGGGGCTCCTATCCTTTTTATTGAGGTAGATTTTACAATCAAGGATGTGGATCTTAAGCGTTCAATTCAGTGAGTTTGGCAGTTGTGTACTCCTGTGTACATACCACCCAAAACAAGACCTAGAACATTTTTATCATTCTCGAAGGTTCTTTTTTGCCCCTTCCCAGCAAACTCCTCCCCACCCCCACCCTTCACCCCAAGGTAACCGTTGTTCTGATTTCTCCCATCATACATTAGTGTTGCCCATCCTAGAGCTGCTTATAAGTGGAATCATTTGTGTCTACTTTATGTCTGTTGTCTTTCACTCAGGGGATTTGTCCACACTATGAGCTCCGTCCGTAGTTCTTTCTGTTGCTCAGTAGTGTTCCGTTCTGTGAGTACACCACAATCTGCTGATCCGCTCCCTTGTTGATGGACATGCGTGTTGTTCATGGGTTTGGGCTATCATGAATAATACGGCTGCTCTGAACGCCCTTGCACAAGTCTTCTTGTGCACATTTGTTTTCATTTCTAGCACATTCAGATTTCTTTTTTTTTTTTTTAAAAAAGGAAAGCTTTCTTGTGAAGTCCTGACAGTTTAGTTGAGTCTATTTTTATGTCGGATGTTTGGGAACTGGAAGTGATATTTTGGGACTGTAAGGGACCACATCTAATCCATCTGCCTCAGAGCAGCTGAAATGCATGCCGGAGGAGGGAAGTGTACCCTCTGTAGCCATCACGGTCAGGAAATTCTCCCTTTCAGCCAACCTGGATCCACCAGGCTACGTTTCAAGGGCTTTTTTCCTTTTCTTTGTTCCCTGTGGAATAAATGAGACAGTCATAAAGCAGAGGCATGTTGCCTTATGCCCAGCAGCTGCCTCTTCTGCTGGAATGAGCTGGCTCTCTTAGCCTTCCATAAGAGGTGTTTTTCTTGAGTCCCATTTGTGGGCTTTGCTACTGGCCAGGCCACCCTGTGGTTCCCAGGCTCCTCCCGGCTCCCTGGCTGGCGGCTCCCTGGCTGGCCTTGGCTGAGCACTGGTCAGCAGCACATCAAAGGTGGGAATGCTAGGTGGGAAATCCACATTACAAAGCCAGGGGAGTTCGAGATGAGTCACCCTGGGCGGAATCTATCAATACAAGCCTTTAAGGAGCACTTGTGGACCGTTTGGATGTGCTCTGACTTGCGATGTTTAATGATAGACGACACCTCCATCGGGAATTGGAAGACCCATGTGATGGGCCCCGACCCCTGGTTCTTGGTTCTGAATGCTCTCGGGGACCCCTGGGTAGGGCTCCCTCTTTGGGTTAATGTGCTGTGCAGCTTCCTGTAGGATGACCTTTGTTTCACCCCAGATCTCTGCATGTTCTGCTCTGATAGAGTCAGGCCCTCCCCCCACCGTCGGTGTCTGCAGCTTGCAGGAGGCGTCCCGATGTGGACTGCCCGCAGTGCATCCCTCAGACCACCGGAAGTACGTGCACAGCCTTACTGAGACCTGTGGCTGCCACTCCTGTTCTCAGGGCTGATGTCCATTCAGGTCCTCTTCGTGCTCTCTTAGCTAGGAGGGTGGTTAGAGCAGCAGCTAGCAGCCCATGTGCATGTACACTGTGTCCCAGCACGGTCCTAATGCAGGAAATGGTGTGCACTGTGCCCCCTAGCCCCCATCCCAAGGCACTGAGAGAGTTGTTGTACTCATTTTCTCAACAAGGGAAACGAACACTCAGAGAATTACTTCTTTAAGGCCCACGGCTGTGAGGCGCAGAGCCAGGGCTCAGGCCTGGGCAGGTGCACGTAACCGCTGTACTGCCCTCATTGTCCCATTTTCCAGATTCATCTGCACCACAGTAGTTGTGCTACACAGCACAGAATCCAAAGTCCCCCTGAAATCAAAGCATTTGTTTTCCTTCTCAGCCTCCCAGGCCTGTGTTGCTGTATATTTTTCCAGCAAATTAGCTCAGCTTGATGGGACTTGTATGTGGAGGCAGGGTGATCATTTTGAGATAGTCTGTGGTCTACACTGGCTGAACTGTTGTTTACTCCCACACATTTTGGGGAGAGTATGTGTGAGAGAAAGAGAGAAAGTGTGTGTGTTTACCCTTTTCAAATCATCCATTTGGGTTTTCTGATCTTTTATTGTATGAGTGTAACGAGAATTTTCTACTCTCTCTACCTTTCATCTGGATGGCGAAGTCAAGGTAGGGATTGAGGTTTATTGGGAGCCGGTTGTTGGTTTCTGCTTTCAGCTGAGAGGGCCGAGGGTCCCCCAGTGCCCTGCTCAGAGACTCTGGAAAAGTGTCAGGGGCTGCCCCTCTGAGGGGAAGAGCTGCTCATGTTCTGTCTATTTAATGGTAGTCCCTATTCCTTGCCCCTCCTCATCACCCAGTTCTCTGGGAAGGACCACCCCCTGCACACCAGGGTCATTCCCCAGGAGCTGCACACTCACTCAGGAGCATGCTGAGCTCTCCTTTCCAACCACACCAGTTGTCATTTCCCACGTGCTCGTGTTAGTGATCCCATTATTCTCTCTTTCCCCCACCAATGTCGGGCTCATAAAGGTAGAAACAGTGTCTTCTATTTCATCCTGTGCTGTATCCCCAGCACCTAGCAGGGTGCCCATGCCCAGTGCACTTGTGAAGAAAATGAATGAGAGAAAATTCTCCAACCCAAGGCTACTGCTGACATGGGACAGACAGCTCAGTAGTCTCCCATTATAGGGCCAAGTTCACTTGGAGCATTTCCCAGGATTGCAGATGGTTCTGAGAGCCTACCAACCTGGATGGTTGGTAACCAGCACCCATGAAAACCAAAACCGTGCTAACCATGGCCTTCGGCAGAGTGCCCAAGGTGGGAGACGCAGCCCCGGGGAGTGGCCAGTGTGAATTTTCTCTGCAGTTTATAGCTGCCATCTTGGGGAGGAAGCACCTGCCTAATATCTAAAAGTTAAAATAAGGATAACAATATCTTGCCTTTTTTTTTCTTTTCTTTTTTTACAGGAGCATGGGCTTAGTCAACAGCAAGAAAAAAATAAATGAACATAAGATGAACATTGCGCTATTTACATTCCTTTGATTCCTATTTTGATCTTTATCAGAAGCATCTGAATATTTTTATGTAGTTGCGGTTTGCCTCTGTATTCTGCTTTACATTATTTTTACATTTAGAGTTGCTGTCTGTGCACATTTCCATGTGCTAACAGTTCACGTACTTTTTCTTTTTTTTTTCTTTTTGCTATTCTGAAACATGATCCTTTAACTGTAAATATTGGATATCTTTGTAAATAGTAGACAGAGCTACCTTGTTATTTTTCATAGCTAGGTAGTGCTCACCAGTGGATGAACAGTGATGCTTAACCAGTCTCTGATTAGTGGCATTCAGGTTTTGTAATTTAAAAAAAAAGGGGGGGGGTATCCCTGGATGGCTCAGCGGTTTGGTGCCTGCCTTCAGCCCAGGGCGTGATCCTGGAGACCCAGGATTGAGTCCCACGTCGGGCTACCAGCATGGAGCCTGCTTCTCCCTCTGCCTGTGTCTCTGCCTCTCTCTCTCTCTCTGTTTCTCATGAATAAATAAATAAAATCTTTAAAAACAAAAAACAAAAACCTTAGGAGCACCTGGGTGGCTCAGTCAGTTAAGCATCTGCCTTCAGCTCAGGGTCCTGGAATGGAGCCCCATGTCAGGCTCTCTGCTCAGTGGGGAGTCTGCTTGTCCCCTTCCCCACTCCACCCCCTTTTGTGCTCACTTAGTCTCTCCTCTCTCAAATGAATAGAATATTTTTTTAAAAAAAATCATACAGCATTACAATAAACATCCTCAAATTTTGTTTATATGCTCGAGTTTAGGACAAATTTCTGGCAGTGGCAATGCTGGGTTAAAGAGTATGAACACTTGAAGAAAAAAAAATATGAACACTTAAATTTTCCTCCAAAACCACTTCCAAAATGTCTGTGTCAATTTATGTACTCTCTAGTAATCCATTTACTGTCAAAGGTGACATACTCTTATAAATGTTTATGTACCACATTTTCTTTTCACCTTTTCCCGTTACTGAGCCTTTGAGCTATTCCCCCTGTTTTAGGCTGTCATTTTTCATCCTTGTTAGTTATAGGCTTAACTTTTTCAAGTTCCTTAATATTTGAGTTTTGTACTCTAGGAAACTTAAGAGTTAGATAAAAACAGGCAATATTCATCACAATAGTTTTTCCATGCAATGCAGGAAAGGCACATGGGTTAGCTGTTTTGCTCAGAATTGCACGATGAATGGCAGGGCCTGCTGCCTGCCCCTGCAGAGCACTTGTCCTGTGTGCTGTCCTCTGGAGAAGGTACTAACCTGGCCCCTCTGGATCTCAGGCAGTGGGGGTACACCAGTTGTGGCTAACTACATTTCAATCTTATCATTCCCTCCCGTGAACTGCTACAGTATGGGGTCACATTGCTGACTGATCCCGCAGGCTGATGGCAGCAGACCCCTCTGGCTGCATCCTCCCCGCGTTCTTCTGGGTTTCCAGGGCTCTGTGTTTGCAGGCCTTTTGGCTGGAGGCCGTGCAACCTGCGGTGTGGATCTCACACTGTGACCTGCCTCCTTCACCAGAGGCTTGAGTACAGGCACCTTGGCTGGGTGACAGGGTCTCCAACTAGTGTAGCCACAGGTTTCTAGGAAATGCAAATTAAGGGGCAAAGAAAGAAATGCAGGAGGATTTCTAAGAGGAAGAGCACTAGGATGAGCTTCCTCTGCAGTCTTCTGAAGAATAGGTCTTTGGGGCATGAGAAACCAAGCAAGTGTTAGGAGACTAATATTTCTCTGCTCAGGCCCTGGAAAGGTAACCTACACAGAGATGATTTTAAAAGAGGGAAGAGCTGTGTTGTGTGGGGTACAATCTGTAGGGTAGAATAGGTGTCTGGCAGTGCTCCATATGAATACATACGAGTATATGTATTCATTCATTCATTCATTTATTTATTTATTTAGATTTATTTATTCATTTGAGAGGGAAAGAGAGAGAGTGAGAGTGCACAAGCAGGGGGAGAGGCAGATGGAGAAGCAGGCTCCTCACTGAACTGGGAGCCTGATATGGGACTCAATACAAGCACCCCGAGGTCATGACCTGAGCCAAAAACAGACGCACGCTTAATGGACAGAGCCACCCAGGCGCCCAGTGCTCTGCTTTTATTTTTATTTATTTTTATTTATTTTTATTTTTTATTTTTTTTTTTAGTGCTCTGCTTTTAATTCCCAGCACACTCACCCCGCCAAACACAGAGCTCACGATTTGGGGGCCTCAAGCCCCCACAAGGGCACCTCATCTAGAGCCATTGGGAACTAAGCTTCCAGTTCCTCAATGTGACCTCGCATACAGAGATATCACTCTGATGAGCCCGAGCAAGTAACTCAGACTAGAGTGAGAATGACTGATAGGAGATATTTTACAATTTAAATGAAATGCTAGGAAACCCAGAGAAATCTGCTTGGTAGAATATGGGGCACATCTTTGAGGTATGGGTGCCTTTCCACTTAAGACTTTTATTCCTTTTTTTTTTTTTTTTTTAAGACTTTTATTCCTGAAGCTATCCTTCTGTACCTATCTTTTTTCCCCTCCCACCCCCACCCCACTCCTAGGTTAGAAAACATAACAGTAAGCAACTTGGCATTTCTGTTTTTGGAAATCTGTCAACTCTATAATGGACTTTTTCAATCAAGTCAAAATGTTGTATGCTTTTACTGGAACCCATGCTAATGACAGTGTCTCTCGGGGGACACTTTCTCTCTACAAGCCATTTCCCATTGCGGAATCACAGGAAACCTTTGTCTTCCCATCTTCCCTCTGCAGGTTCTGATGAGGAGTACATTTATATGAACAAAGTGACCGTCAACAAGCCGCAGAATGCTGAGTCCCAAGACAAAGGTACTGTCTAGGACTCCTGATGGCCTGGCCAGCTTCCGGGATGGGGAGGCATAAGCTTTGGTCCCACCCACCCCCTTCCTCCCCAGCCAGCACCAGACAGCCCATGGGAGTTATTTCTGGTATTCACATTTTGGTTGATGGTATTTCGGGTTGATGTATTTTGGGATATTTCATCAGGCCACCTCCTTGCCTCTTAAAGGTCTCATGTCCCCTCTGTGGATAAGCAATCTGACCCTAAAGCCTCTCAGCTTTTCCCAGCATTATCCCAGGAATAGGAAGTCATGGTCAGATGTTCTAGGAAAGCAGTCACTGTACAGTGCTGACTCCACACCCAGCTTTATATCTTTTGGTAGAAGTCTGGATTTTATGTGCCTGTGAGAGGGGGCGGGAATAGAGAATGGAAATGCTGATGTCAGCACCTGCCTTAATATTCTAAAGTCTTGCTCAAAGGTGTTCTCTTGGCAGAACATTATATCTTAACATTGGAAGGACATATTGTGTCTCCCATGACGTCTTACTTACTCTTCTGCTCTGTTCTGCTCTCTTCTTTTCTCTGAAAACCTTCAGGAATGGGTCTGCCAAAAAACCCTAGGGAGGGGAGGCCCAGAGGTGTTGCAGAGCTGCGTAGTTGTAGAGGAGAGGGGATTAGAAGCCACATCTCCCAACTCCCAAGCCTGTGACTGAAATGCAGAGGCCTAGCCAGAGGTGGGGATGCAGCTCTCCAAAGCATTCAGTCGTGTTAAGGGCTTGGCTTCAGGATGCCTGCCACCAAAGCCCCGGAGTCAGATCTGTGTGAGCCTGTCTGTCCTGGGGCTGGCCGGGCCGCTGTCTGAAGTGGTCAAGCTCAGAAGAGCCTTTGGAGCCCTTTTTCTTAAGAGCACAAGCACACAGAGGGCTGGTGGCCGAGTTCTCCAGTGTGGCTTTTGCACCTCCTATTCCACTGCCAAGCCTGGGGCTCAGTAGAAATTATCCACATGCAAGGTACCACTGTGCCCAGGGCCATTTGCCTTCTGGGGAAACTGGGATGGAAAGAGCCATAATCACAGGGTCGGAGCTGGGAGCTTCTCCACATAATGACCACAGGGCAGCTCCTCTGCTCGCTAAAGCTCTGTGGCTGGGCCATTTTTGGCAGAGGGCAAATGGAAGAGAGGGTGCGGAGCCTGCCCGAAACCCCAGAGCAGTTCCTTCTGAGGAATCTGCCCATGGCTCAGGCACCACTGCACCCTATTCTTGGAGGAAAAACCACATTGGCTCCTGGGACCGCCTGCCTGGGTAATTAACACCTGCTCAAATAGATCTCATGGCACATGTGACCAGACATTCCGGGGTAACGGGACCTGCTGTGAGGCTGGGCACCCCTCATCAAAGCTTCTCCTGTTTGCTGCCCGCAGCACCTGAGGAGCAGAACCCGCTGACCAACGGGGAGCCTGGCCAGCACTCTTTGGCCCCTCAGAAGAGTCTTCCAGACCTCCCACCACCCAAGATCGTAAGTGTTCATCAGAGACCCCTGACCTCCCGACTGGGGCCCCCGTGAACTTCCAGTTGTTTACACAGGGGTCAGTCCACCAAGTGGCTGGCATTTTCTGAGCACCTACTGTGTGTAGGACGTGGGGCAGGGCGCTGGGAGAGAATGAACAAAAGGATACCTGCACGTAGGTGACATCATTTGCCCAGGGCCATAGTGCTCAGGACAGAGGCTAATGGGAATGGGAGATGCAGGGAGTTGCCTTCATCCAATGCCACCATGTGTTTGAGGCTACACCGTGTGTTTGAGGCTACACCCAGCACCATGTGAGTGGGGCCATGTATAGCTGTGGTCACCAGCTCAGGCCGCAGCAAACTTCTAGAAATGTAAATCATATCCCCTGGCACTTCCTGCTTCAAACCAGCCAAAGGCTTTCATTGAACTTAGGAAAAAACATCCGCATTCCTTAACCCAGCCCCATGGGCCACACGGTCTACACAGCCCGGCCCAGCTGCATCTCCAGCCTCACTACACCTGCTCTTCACTGGCCTGCTCTTCCTGGATTGGACCACATGGTCACTGTTGCCTCAGGGACTTGGTACTTTCTGGACCCTGGCTCTCCAGTGGCTGCCACCTCCTCATCTCTCAGACGTTCATGGACAGGCTTTCCCTGATCTGCTGCACGAGGCAGCCCACGCCAATCCCCACCCTATTACCATCTGCCCCATGGCCAGTTACCCCTCCATGGCACTCACCACTGTCGAGACGGTCTTGGTATTCTCTGCCTCCCCAACCAGATGTGAGCTTCCTAGGACAGGGAGAGAGGCTCTCGTTGACTGCTTCGTGCCCTGTGTCTGCACACCATACACATGTATTTGCTCATGGGTGGTTGGATGGACAGAATGAATTAGGAAACCTACGGACCTGGGTTCAGATCCCAGCTCTGCCAGCTACTAGCTCTTTGACCTTGAGCCAGTGATTTAAGGTCTCTGGCCCTTTGTTCCTGGTGTTTAAGAGAATCTGAATCTCTATCTCCTAAGATTGTCTTATTTGACGGGCTAAGGCTGGGCATGGCGTACTAGGAGGTTAGTATTCAGGGGGGTAGGCAGCAGTGTTTATATTTTATGGGGGAGGAAACCAAGAATCGGCAGGTTTATAGTATCTGAATGTTGGCACACATAGAAAGTGACAGAGCCAGGATTTGAACCCAAATTCTTTCCTGTCTAGAACCTGCTCAAGGAGGCTTCCTGAGAAGTATGAAGGAAGAAATGGGAAGGATTTCCACGGGCAGCAGGGTCCTGGGGCCAGTGCCAGCAGGGAGCTGTGTGACTCTGTGGTCACTGAGCTCCCACAACACCATCCAGGGGTAGATCTGTGCGCTCACGTCACTGCTGAGGGCTTCCCAACCCCAGTCTGGTCCCCTTCGTGCCTCCCTGAAGGCGGCAGGGCTCCTCAGGCAGCTCTCGCAGCTGGTAGGCAGTTCTGGAATACCTGGGAGTATCCCACCGCATGAGGCCCTCCAGCTGGGTGACAGCTGGCAGAGACTCTTCATCTCAGCCCCAGTGAGACTTGGTAGCCTGACCCTGAGTTCTGGGTGTCCCCATTATGCTGACAAAGCAGGTAACTGCTACACCTGAGCAGCTAGCCGTCCTGGTGCACACAGGCTTGGTCCTCCCCACCATCTGTCTAGGGGTGCAGACTTTTGTCACTTTTCCTATGAAGAAACAGAGGCTCAGTTCAAATAGCCGGCCCCGGGCTCACCTCCGGGAGGTACCAGGGCCAAGGTTTGAATGCAGGTTCTTGGACTCCAGGCCACTCTGCAGGCCGCCTGCTGAAGCACTTCTTTCAGCAGAGTAAAAGGGTCTGTTCTGTTCCTGCCAGCTGCAGGCTCCCCTCACTTCCAACCCAGGACCGGGGAGGGGGTACAGCCCCTCCATGCCTGACCAGTTGCCGCCACAGTAACCTGGGGGAGATGCTGTGATTTTCTGCTGTGCTTCAGGCACTGCTCGCTGGGTGGGGAAAGGGGAGGTGGCCGCTCTGGGCTGGAACTTTCCTCTCTGGAATTCAGCATCTGATTCTGATCAGGGTCAGCATCGGGTGCCACCGCCTAGCATCTCAAGCCTGGGGCAGCAGGTCAGCACCTGCAGGGGGAGGCTTCCACCAGGCCGAGTGTCGCCGTGGGCACCACGCCCTGGGTGGAGCATCATGACTTGCTCTAGAAATCTGTGCTTTGTGGACCTGGTGGGTTGCTGGGAGGCCCAGGCGCTGGGAGCAGGTTGTAGTGAGAATGAGGCTGTGTCCCAGCAGCCTCTGGGGTTCTGGCACCGGCTTCTCCTGCTCCTGTACGTGGACACAGAGGCTCCAAGGGCCCCGGGATGGGAGCTGCAGGGCCTCCGAACAAGACCGGGGCGAGCGGCCTTCCCCTAGAGCAGACTTCCTGTGTTGGCTGTGACTGGGGGGCCCCTCGGGGCCCAGAGAGGCTTGCGTTGACCTTTGAGAGAAACCCAGTGCTGGAGTTGGGAGAAATACCATCACCCAATAATAGCACGGCCCCAGGGGGGGCCTTCAGATGTGCAGCAGTTGTTCGGATGGCCCAACTCCAGGCCGTGGGGAGGGTTCCAGCTAGACAAACCGACTTTACAGTCATCCTTCTTGGCGGGGCTTCTCCACTGAGAAGGCCAGGGGCTGCTGACCTGACCGCAGCCCCCTGTTGGTCCCTCCTGGTCCCATCCCGGGTGCCCACCCCCACCCCAGGGACTCCCGCTTTCCGAGAGAGGAAGGCCCGGCCTAACCCGGAGCTCGCCCCTCCTGCTCACACACGCCTCCTCTGCTTGAGTCTGGCGGCCGCAACCACGACTTGGGTCCCAGCCCCTTGACGAGTGGCGTCAGGGTGGAGTGGGAAACAGCTGTGTCTTCTGGCTCTGTGCAAGGAGGAGAGCGAGAGCTGGACGGAGGGAGGGAGCGTGGCAGCGTGAGGTTGGAATGACCTTGTGACCTCTTCCTGAGACAGAGAAAGCCATGCCCCTTTGCACCCGGACTCCAGAGCCTCGGGGTGATGAGAAGCTTGTCCACCTGGAGGCCTGCCTGGGGTCCTCAGTGCCTACAGCTGGACCCAGAATGTAGCCTCTGTGGCAGGCTTAGGGTGCCCCCGACTCCCTCTCTGGTGGCCTGGGTCCCCTCCCCACCCCCGCAGAGTCCCGGGGTAGCAGATGTCCAGCAGTGGAAGAGGCAGCCACAGGTCTGGAGCAACCTCGTGGGTGTGACCGGTGAGTCAGGCAGCTGTGGCACTTCCAGGCTGCTGTGTGCACAGCCAGGTGCTGTGGTCACTGTAGGAGAACAGATGTTTGCTGGCGTCGTTTATGCTGCTGGCGGGCCCAGCCTTCTCCACCCCAGCTCCCCTTTGAGGCCTGAACATGCATTGGCGCCAATCTGAAGTGAGCTGCTCTATGGGGGAAGCAGCTTACTCCACAAAAGGACGTTGCCATGGTCGGTCTGGGAAGCTGGGGCTGGCTGGATCTGCTATCCCTGCCGGGGGAATGTTCCGCAGGGCACTCTGGGGCAGGTTGCTCATAACAACAGAGACACCTCAGGTCATCTGGGCTACTGTGCTCATGCAGCTCTCATGTCTCATCTAAAATGAGAATTTGCAAACTCTAGCCCCCTGGCCAAATCCGCAGCCACTGCTCTTGTAAATAAAGTTTTATTGGAACATAGCCATACTTCTCAGTTATGTATTATCTGTGGAAGCTTTTGCTCCGCGATCGTGGAGTTGAATAGCTGAGATCAGAGACTCTAAATGGCCTGCAAATCCCTGAAGTATGTGTTATTGGCCCTTTGCAGATAAAGTTTGCAGACCTCTGGCAAATCCTGCTGAGCAGAGTGGCTTTCTTCCCCGTCCCTTCCTGAGGATTCTCAGAACCTTCTTTCCAGTTGTAAAGTCACATTCCTCTGCCTCTTTATTTAGTGTCTACAACCTGGACCATGACAATGACGATGACAATGAAATAGTGCTCTTTTATTCTTAGCCCTGAGAAATCAGCGTCTCTTGCTCCTTTGACTTCAGAAACAGGCCATGATGTCTGTGCAATTACGTGACTCTCTTCTGAACTTTGGGGGAATCGTTTTATCCTTTAACTTGACTCCAGGGTTTCGGTTTTGTCCCCACATCCTGGAGAGCAGGGACTGTCCTTTTTAATGAGGCTGAGCTTGGGCTTCAGACATCTCCTCGGTCTCCTCAGGATACAGCTGTTCTTCCTCCACCAAACATGTATATAGGCAACCTTTCTCCCTTCATTGATTCTTAATATTTTTTTAGGTTAGTAAAAATTCATATGTATTGGATAATAGTGCTGGGCAGACATTAATCCTTACAGTGGCCCCATGTGACAGGTACTTCTACCCATTGTGTGGTGGAGGAACTGAGGCTCAGAGAGGTCAGTTAAGTTGCCCAGGGTCACACAGCTTGGATGCACCATGTTAGGAATCAAACCCTAGCCCTGGAGACCAGATGCCTACCACTGCCCTCTCCTGCCTCTCCATTTATAGGTGATTTTACAGCGCCGGACATGGGAGGCTCTCAGAAAACACTCCCTAGTGCTCTACCCCCAGATAGGACAGCAGGACCTCTGAGGAACTCTTGAAGAAAGTTCATTCCCCCATCGTCCTGTTTTGATTGCAGGAATCTGGGCCAGACCTGGATCTTGGGTGCTTGGAGCTTCTCTGTAGATGGGACCCGCCTCCTCACAGAGAGAAGGGTCCCAGCACCACCCGATGGCGGTGGGGCTTCCTAGAGGCTGGAGCTGGAGGCCCGGCCAACCTAGGAAACGTGAGCTCCAGGACCCATCTATAGGGATCTTGCTGCTTCCCAGGGGAGAGGATGCTCTCCCCTCAGACCCTGGGAGGCCGGCTCCCAGAGGACCAGGGCTGGGTCTTGGGCCGCCCTTTGTCAGACATGATCAAGGGAATGGCCAAGAGGAGCAGAGACCTCTCCCCAGGCTTGTGGCAGCAAAGCTGCAAGGCCATCCCCTGGCAGCTACTGATGGCGCGCACCGGGTGCCCTTGGGACGAGGCTGACCCGGGGTGCCCCTCACAGCCGTGTCTGCAGGCCCAGGGCAGCAGCTGATCTGCCGAGGAAAGGAGCACATCACCCTGCTCCTTCCTCTGTGTTGGGAGCCGAAAGCTGCTCGGAGCCTGCCTCTCGATCTTGTATCCACTCTCTTGACGTAAGGTCAGATGAATTTAGAAGGATCCTGCATCAGATGCAGGTTGTGGCCTGGCCTCGCCGACCCTCCGCCCATAGGCCTGTGTCAGCTTGTGGGACAGTGATCCGGTGACCAGGTCCTGCAGCCCCCACCCCCCACCAGGCTGTGGATGGCCCCCAGACGATGATGACAGCCTCCTCGTGTTTGATGCGGGCCAGGCGCTGTGGAGACCTTGTCATGTTTTCCCTCACTGAACCCGTCAAGACAACCCTGGTTTTATTCTTGTTTTACAGGGAAGGAAAGTGAAAGAGATTGATTAACCCCACAATTAAATATGTGGAGTCCTAAACCCTGATTCAAACCAAGTTATATTCACTCCAGAGTCCATATGAATAAACTCTAGATACCAGGCCACACAGGATTTGGCTCGGGGATGCTGATTTTGGTGAAGCAGCCATAGGAGCATGGCTCTGCCCCCGAGGAGCCTGGGAGTGGACACTCCTGCAGTCCATGCTGAGGACTGTCCCCCAGGGGCCCCAGCCCAGGCTAACTGCTCTCTTGCCCTCCCCTAGGCCAGGACCAGGGGAACCTGTCTCTGTCATAGATTCCCTCAAAAAAGCTCATTTTCAGAGGCTGGGGTTTCTAGATCGTTCCTTTCTCCTGCCAGCAGGGCAGGGAATCCTCCAAGGCCCAGAAATCTGTCTGAGCCCAAGGCCCTATGGGGTCTTTTCATTGGCTACCCATCCCCACCCCCACCCCTCTCTTTCTACTGTTTTCATTTGAAACTCCCCAAACCCGGCACAAGGACTTTCCAAAACCAGGAGTAGGAATGTGCTTCAGATTTTGCCATTTCTGTTGTCTCATAAATATTCCCTTAGCCCTCCTCAGGGGTTGCACAATTGAGGGAGACTCCAGAGACTCGTGTGGATGGATCCTTGCACATTTATGACCTGTATCTAGGACTACTCATGCAACAATCTGCTTTTCTTCCCCTCCCCTGCTATTACTCATAAGATTAGCTTCACCGTCTAATGGAGGAATAGAGGATTTCATGCTCCATGCTTCTACCTACTTGCATATATTGCTTTTTCTTCTCAAATTGTGTGCATTCATCCCTATACCACGGAAGCAGCTCAGGGCCATTGTTGAGACTCAGCTCAAAGATTGTGTCCACTAGGTGGTAACTGTTTCTCGCACCCCACGCATTCCCACAGAGCTTCGACCTTATATATTAAAACACGACTCGTGACGCAAGTCCTTGACTGGGAGCCTTGAACGTTCACTGCCTAGTTGACTCTTGCCCAGGATGGGCTCCTGAACATCAGGATGCGTTCCCCACAGCGATGGTGCAGGAGCCATCCAGCATTTGCTGGCTGAATGATTGAACTTAGTCTGGGAAAAGTTTAGGATTTAGAACCCTGGTCATCTCCCTCCATCAGCATTTGATTAGCCCTTGTCATCCTAGAAAGAACATGCTATGTAGAGGCCATGACAGCCTGACACCATCTGGACCTTTATGTGCATTCCCTCCCCATCATGTACACAATGCTGGTGTGTGTGTGTGTGTGTGTGTGTTTGGAGGGAGGGTTTGAACCTCATTTTGCAGAGAACACTGAGGCTCAGCAAGGCTAAGCAACACACCCGCAGCCCTTCACTGGAAGCAAACCAATGGACGTGGTGGCTTATGGGAGCCATGGTAGTCCATGTTCTCCCTCCCAGCTGGCTTGAAGACCAGCTGGGCATTTTTTTTCCCTCCAGACTCCCCTCCTTCCACCCAAAGGGTTAATTCCAAGTCGTTCCCAGTGTATCCTATCTGAAAATGTTTATTTGTTCATACCACAGATTCCAGAGCGGAAACAACTCTCCATCCCAAAGATCGAGTCTCCAGAGGGTTACTATGAAGAGGCTGAGCCGTATGACACATCCCTCAATGGTACATCCCGGGGCCAGGGTTGGGGCTCGGAGGGGGTCCAACCACTTCCTGCACAGATGCCAGTGCTGGAAGCAGACGGTGGCCTGGGCTGCTGTTTCCAGAGAGTGTGGCCCAAACTGAGAACTGACCACAGAGCATTGGGCTGCTGCTCTTGTGGGGAGCTGAGCTGTACAGCAGACCCAGGCTGACTGTAAAGAGGGGCTTGGGATGGTCCCCAGTGAGCTGTGTTACCGTGTCTGATGCTTTCGGTGGCCCCACCTGGACGGTGCTGGCTTCAGCACAGAAATGTGAGGGAGGCGAGGTGTTGGCTCAGGGGCACTCGTAAGCAATGGGAATGTGGTGAGGCCGAACCAGCACCCTTTCCAGGGTTCTTTCATTAGACTGATAGTTAACATGCTCTCGTTGTACACCAGGCATGCTTCCAGGAGTCAGGAACTCAGCAGAGCTCAGCAGAGTCCAGGGTTCAAGCCCTTAGGTTCTGTGAGGAAAGACAGATGACAGATAAACACAGGTTGTGTCAGGTGATGATACAGTGGTAGGATGGAAAACACAGGGACTGGGTTGGGGCAGGAGGGGGTGTTATTTTAGATAGGGAGGGTCTCTCTGATAGCATGACCTTGAGCTGAGTCCTGAATGAAGTGTGAAGTGGGGAAGGCAGAGACCTACAGGAAGAACTTTCTAGACTGCACAGCCCATGCAGAGGCCCTGAAGCAGGAGGGCTCTCGGTATGCTTAAGAAATAGCAAGGAGCCCAGTGTGGCTGGAGCAAGGAAAGAGACAGGAGGTGGGGACACAGGAGTTAGCCGCAGGCCACGGTGAGGACTTTGGCTTCTTTCTGATAAAACCTCAGGCCTCAGTGACTGACATTAGGTATCAGTGAAAACATTAGGTATTCAGGGGCCTGTGCTACAGGGGCAGGGCTCATGCTGGACCCCTCTCTCCTTGGCCAGTGGTTCTCAGCTGGGGGAGTCAGATCAGAAATGCTCTTGGTATAGGGATTTGATAGCACAGAAAGGCCCCAAAAATTCTGGAAGAAAGACAGTGTTGTGGCCTACTCACGCACGCAGCTGGTCTCTGGTCCTCTCGCTCTGCCCTTCTTACCTCACTCAGCTTCCTTCCTTGGTAGGCGAATGTCTTTGAAAGCATAAAGCAAATTGCAAATATAAAAGGCAAGGGTCTACATGGGTAGGAATGAACTTGGCTGAAAAGGGGTGTTGTTGGCTCCGTAAAGAGCTGGGCCAGAGGTCGGACAGGACCAGACTCTCGGAGCCACCTCGGATTCTTCTCTTTCTTCACACTTCACCTACTGCCTCCGGTCCCAGGAACTGTGTGGGAGGCGAGGGCCTGTTTGGATTGAGGTTATTTTATTCTAAGAGGCTGGCTTTGTGGGCAGACATCACTTAGCTTGAACCCACGGAGCGTGTGGGATGTTGCCGAGTCACCGGCGGGGCCGTGATTTCAGACCGAAGCGGAGGGTGCGGTGCTACTTGTCTGGATGCATCTGGAAGGTGGAAGCTGTGACTCACCACGACGAGTACCTCCATGCGTCTTAAACCTCGCTCTCTCGGGTGTGGCCCGTGCCAGCGGGGGCCTGCATCCCAGACGCTCCCGGGGGCCTGTTTGTGGGGCAGACACTTTATCTTATCATAAACAAGTGGGCTCAAGCTTCGTGGTGTTTGTCATTTGGCTGCAAATTCATGTTGGTTTTAGCCAAGACCGGGGCGTCATTGTGAAGACAGCCTGAACGCAGCAAGGTGGGTAGGAAGGTGCCAGCTGCATTTCCTCTCCTGCCGGGACAACGACCAAGGATGACTTTTGGAGAGAATTGGTCCCATGCCACAAAGGGAGGGCTTCACCTGCATTTGTAACCTGGTCTGCCCTTACTTCCTGCTCGTTGTCCCCACACCTGTTTGAGCGGTGAAACCTGCAGGTCATGGCAGGAGGGATGACCTTTGGCCACCAGCCATTCGTAGACTTCCTACAGAGACTGGTTGCTTGGGTTCTTGTTCTGCTTTATCAGCACTGTCCCCACGCTGCTCTGAAGGGTCAGGCCTCTCTCTCCAAGAAAAAGTTTAGGAAGTGCCCTGATGGCCCGTGCAGGAGATACAAGGGTCAGTCCTACTTGCGTGAGATGTCAGCTACTTGGCCCATGATGTCTCATGCTGGGGTCATGGCAGCTACGGTAACAAATAACCCCCCTTTCTGCTTAAAGTGACACAATACAAATCTCTTTCTTATGAACAGCTCAGTGTGGGTTTTATAGGTCGGTAGGTAGTCTAGGCTCCCTCCTGGGTGGGCTTGGGCACCCTCTAAGACCACAGAATCCTCTGCAGGGAAAGAGAAGAGAACCCCTTAAAAGAGTTTCTTAAAAGCGCCAGCCAGAAGTGACTTTTACCCACATTCTATTGGTGACAAGTAGTTACCTGGTCATCTCTGGTTGGGAAGTGGCTGGGAGAAGGTGTCCTTGATTGGGCTGGGGCCTGTCCTGCTGAGTCCACTCCTCCAGTGGGAAAGTACTAACTTACAGTGGATAAGCAGCCACGGGGCCACATCTGGGTCTCTCTGTGTCTCTCTCTGCACTTGGGTCTGTACCTCTCTTCATCTTGTGTCTCTCTATCTTGCCTTTTTCTGTGCTTCTGGATCTCATACAGGTCATTCTGGCGGATTTTCCCCCACTGGAGTCCCCAGATGGGTGCAGGTGCCTGAAGGAGTCATTTACGCCACAATCACCTTGGGTACTGCTTGTCCCCAGAGCTGGAAAGCCAGTGATTCCATGCCTGCTGCCTGGCTTCCAGAGATGGGATGCATGCCCTGGGGTGGCCTCTGCATGGATTCTGCATGTGTACATCATGTATCAACCTTCTAGAAGGAGAGACTTCTCTACCTGCCACAGCCCCCTGCCACTGGCATCTGAATGCACGAGTGAAGGACCAGAGCGCTGCATGGTTGTCTTGCCCCCTTTTCCCAAAGACCTCCGGCAGCACACAGTGGGGGGTGGTCCACCAGGGGTGCAGAAATGGGATGGAATTACCTGAGCCTCCTGCCTTTTACTCTCATTCATCCTACGAGCCCCAGAAGCCACATATCTGCTTTAGGACTGTCCCACAGTCATGGCCATGCTGTGATCCCTCTTAGAGATAAATAAAATGACAATACACTTGCTCCAAGATTCCCCTAAGCCACTCCAGGTAGTTTGAGATACTGTGATTTGCTGTCTACTCAGCTTCCCCATACCTGCCTGGCGGTGGATGGGCAGGTGTTGGAATTCACCGAATGCTTGGGCCAACCCCGGAAGCACAAACAATGGGGAGATTTGGCCAGCTTCTTCCTGCTGAACTCTGTGGCCGCCCTCTATTAATTTCTGTTACTGAAGGAGGCATCCCAGTGACACTGTATCATTCTGAGTTCCCTTATTGTACAGAGTATACCACACTGACGATGAGGACTTTTTCTAAAATTGCCCTGATCCTACCACCTGATCAAATCAGCTCTCTTGATTTTTTCCTCTTGCCTCTTGGTACCGATCTATTCGCACATAGAATTTTAATTGTGCCTCCTCACTGACCATCATATTTCTTGAGCTGCGGATTACTGTTCAGAGTTCCCATCCAGTAGGGTTGCATGGCATGTTCTGCAGTGGGTGCATCACACTCCCCCCCCCCCCGCCTTCCACTGACTGTAAATGGCACTGGAATTAATAACTTGATGCACGTAACCTACCACTTTCCATTCTTCCTTTTTTTTTTTTAAACTAGTTTCCTAGGATCAACTCTCAGGACTGGGATCATTAGGTCAAAGGGTATGGGTATCTTTATGGCTCTTGAAACAACAGGCTGCCAGATTGTTTTCTGAGAGGCTTGTGTTTCATTTACGTTACTACCAGCAACGGGAGAGTTCGGGTCTCCCGTTGGCTACGCCACTCTTTCCAGTCTTTGCTTATTTAATAGGTGTGAAGGTATGAGCTGTGCAACTTTTTTTGTTACGCTGTGAAGGGGAGCAGTACCACACTGCTTTAAAGGAAAGTGGATATTAAAATATTGGAAGTGTTATTTTTAGAAATATGAAAACACATTTCCATTGGCCTCGTAGCGAGGGTAACTATGGCAGTGGCCTCATTCTGGTTTTCTATATTCTAAGTCAAATGTGGTTCTGTTTTCCTGGCGTGGAGGAACCTTGCTGGGCAGAGAGGAGAAGGGGCTTCTGCAGGAGGGACACTAAGGGCCCACAGGCTGACGTGTTTCTGGAGGAGACTGGAGGGGCAGATAGAGGAGTTGCGTTCACCCTGACTCGAGGGGATGGACCATGTCTGTAGAGGTGACAAGGAAGTAGATGGTGGCCTGACTTTCTACCCAGTCACAGAAGGAAGTATCTAGGGATCAGGAGATAGTGAGTTCCCCGTCCAGGGGGGAATTCAAGCAGAGGCTGGAGCGGTGTCAGGATTCCCACGGTGTTGAGCCAGGGGTTGGACTAGGTTGGGATCCTGAGGTTCTCTTTTTTCCACGTCCTTCTTTTTGGGGTTTTACTGATTTACTTTTTCCTTCCCCTAGTTTCTGTTGGCCTTAAACAGCACAATGAGGCCCGGAGAACAGAACAACTCTCGCAGGGTACATTGCGGGGCGGGGGGGGGGGGGGCAGGAGAAACTGAGGCACGGGGAGCGTGCACAGGATTGAACATGGTTTGTGCTTGGTGAGCTTTGGGATTCTCTGGAGCGGAACAAGCGTGAGGCTGACCAGAGGTGGAAACCAGCAGAGGGGGCTGTGTGTGCTGGGAGGCTGGCCGTGCGGAGGGAGAGCCAGCAGAGCCTGGGGAGGCTGGCAGTGGGTTGGCCCAAGGGCCGGGCCAGGGGGGACAGCCGCCTTCCCCACAGAGCCATTTCCTGCTGTGGTTTGTCTCCCCTTGAGAGGCCGCAGCCTTTCCTCCCAGGACAAGCAGGGACAGAGGTGGCCCAGCCCTCAGAGGCTTACCTCGTGCCCAGCGGGGGCTCCCAGAGACCCTTCCCCTGGGCCCCCCTACAGTGCCCGGGTGCCAGGCTCCCCCCTCTCCCCCACTGCTAGAGCCCCAGGTGAGGATCCAGAGGCCCGCAGGGGGGCCTGGCCTTGTCGAGTGTGGACCCTCGCCTGCGGGCAGCGTCTTGTCCACTTGACATCTGTGGAGTCTGGGATGACAGATTGGAGGAGGAAAAGGCAGAGACTCCTGGTTTGGGTTGTTTGTGTCTGTGGCCAGAAGCGGCCTCCAAGAAGTGTCACCGAGGGGGCTGTGGTTGGTGGCTGTCAGGCTGGCTCAGGGACACAGGGCCGGGTGCGGGCCCCCGCCCTCCCTCCTGGACGAAGGTTCCCCTGCCCCGGGGGCCGTGACCGCGTGGGTCTTCCTTGCAGAGGACGGAGAGGCGGTGAGCAGCTCCTACGAGTCCTACGATGAAGAGGAGAACAGCAAGGGCAAGTCGGCGCCCTACCAGTGGCCCTCGCCCGAGGCCAGCATCGAGCTGATGCGCGACGCCCGCATCTGTGCCTTCCTGTGGCGCAAGAAGTGGCTGGGGCAGTGGGCCAAGCAGCTCTGCGTCATCAAGGACACCAGGCTCCTGGTCGGTTGGGCTCGTGTTGTGGTGCTGTCCTCTGTGTCTGGGGGGGGTCAGGGGAGGCGGCCCCTCATGCCAGGCGGACGGAGCCTTTCCTACGTGGAGGTTTTCTCCTGTCCCTGATCTGAAATCGTAGGCAGAGCTGTGTGCGCGTGGATGAGTGTGCTGCCTCTTAACTAAGGAAGTCTAATGGGGGCAGCCCGGGGGGGCTCAGCGGTTTAGCGCCGCCTTCAGCCCAGGGTGTGATCCTGGGGTTCCGGGATCGAGTCCCGCATCAGGCTCCTTGCATGGAGTCTGCTTCTCCCTCTGCCTGTGTCTGCCTCTCTCTCTCTCTCTCTCTCTCTGTCTCTAATGAATAAATAAATAAAAATCTTTAAAAAAAAAAAAAGTCTAATGGTTTTCACAGGACCCTCCAAGGGGGCTGTGGTGACCACCCTCTGCCCCCAGGCCCGTCCCATAGATGTGTTTTCCCAGGGATCTTGTCCCCTGGTCTGAGGGCTCATTCTTCCTCACATCTGGACCCCTGGCCGTTTGGGGTGGAGCCCCCTGCCCGGTCAGGACCCTCCAGCCCCCCTGGTTGTGGCCACCACACTCACCTGTGCAGAGGCAGAAAGGGAGGCATTGTCACCGAAGTCAAGGTATTTTGAATTACCGATTATAAGACAAAATCCGTAAGAGAACCAGAAGCTCTTACTCTGACCACAGCCCTGTTTCCTGTTATTCTAAATTACAATTCACAGTTTTTTATGTCCTCATTGGAAGTTCCTTGGAATCATTATAAGCACGCTTTCCTCCCGGGTCACGACATGCCCTGCCCTGTGCAGATGCTCCTTCTGGTAACGCCGTCCCCAGCCCTGCGAGGACCCCTCTATACCCATCACAAACAGGAGCAGAGTATTTTGTCTGGGAGGGGAAGCAAGTCCCTTTTTCTTTTTCTTTTCTTTTTCTTTTTCTTTTGCTTTTCTTTTTCTTTTTCTTTCTTTTCATTTTCTTTTTCTTTTTCTTTTTCTTTTCTTTCTTTTCTTTAGCTACAAATCATCTTCTTAACTAAGCAGATAATGAGCTTGGTCTTCATTCCCTATGCGCCCCTCCCTGAGGTTGGTGAGCAAGAAATGCAGACAGGCGGGGAAGTGGGAAGAGTGAGTCCAACCTGAAGGTGTGAGAGTTGGCTGCAGAGGATGATTTTCAGGAGCTAGCTGAGGCCTGCGGGGCCCTTGGAGCAGCCTGGATGAGCAGGGTGCAGGTCATCCCCGGGGAGGCCGGCAAGAAGGGGGTGTGAGAGAGAGGAGACAGTCTCCCTGGTCGCTCTGATGCCAAGAGCAAGAGCTACTGATACCTGAGGCCTCATTCTGCACCTTTGGTTTTGCTGGGGAGAGCTGAGCTCTCAGGGGTCCTGCCATGCCCGTGGCCCCTCTCTGCAGCACCCGGCCAGGCCTGGCACCCCTGGCAAAGTGGCACAGCGTCTCTCTTCTCTTCTAGTGCTACAAATCCTCCAAGGACCACAGCCCTCAGCTGGATGTGAACTTGCTGGGCAGCAGCGTCGTCCACAAGGAAAAGCAAGTGCGGAAGAAGGAGCACAAGCTGAAGATCACACCAATGAACGCCGACGTGATCGTGCTAGGCCTGCAGAGCAGGGACCAAGCAGAGCAGTGGCTCAGGGTGAGGGTGGCACTGGGCTGCTGGGGACACAGGCCTGCCCCGCCTATAGGGCTCCTTGGCTTTTTCTAAAAGGGATGACTGCTGTCAAGGGTAGAGGATCTACAGTCCTTCAAATTCCCAGGGTTTCTGTGTTCTGAGTGGTAGCCGTCAGTCCTAAGGAAAGGATCTCTCCGCTACTGTTCCTGGACTTGGGCTCTAGTAGAGACTCATTAGCCCTCTGGCTTCTGGAGAGGCATCACCGGCCTTCTTAGTAAAGAAGAATGGATGGCAGGGTCACTCGTAAGGCACTAATCATGGGCCGTGTGCTTTTATCAAACTTAACCTACCTAATCACGCCGAGGGTAGCTGCACAAGGTTCATACCACCATTTTACAGGGGTGGTGATTAAGGCTCTGAGGGAGGAGGTGACCAGTCAAGGGCACCTGGCAAGCAGTAGGTGTGACTGTCTGACCACAGTCCTGTGTGTCCTGCCATCACAGATGCATGTGGTCAGGTCTGCCTGCAGGTACGTGGGGGTGGCCCCCAGTGATGGCAAAGCCTGGTTTGCCCCATGTTAAAGATGAGCTTGACAATGCCAGAACGTAGAAGGTTTGTACCAAGAAGGTGCCCCTGGTTTGGGGGCAGGACCCCTGGTCAGCCAGAGAGGTCCCTTCCTTCCTTGGTTCCTGCTGCCCCCTCCTCCATCACGGCCACGCCAATGCATTTCTCGTAGAAGTGCTGTGTCTGCCTTCTATCCCTATCTACCTATGTACATACACACAAGTACTTGTGTGCACCCACACTTGCAGATATACACATAAACACTTGCATGCACGTGTACACACATGCACAAGTAGTTGCATACATGCAAAGACTTGTAGACGCATGCACACACACACGCACACACGGTGCTTCTGCTCTCAGTGCTGTTCTGCTGCTCCGACCCACCTGTCCTTCCTCTGACTCCCAGCCTCTCTCCCCAACTCACATGCCCTCATCCTGAAACCCCTGCTGGTGCTTTCAAAGACAAGAACCCTTTCAGAAGGAATAGCCTCTCTGTCGGCCTTCACAGAGGCCCCCTTCCTCCCTGGTCAGATGAGCATGGAGCTGGACCTGGCTGCGAGGGCCTGACTCCGAGAAGCTGCACACGCTTGCAGTTTGGTAGGACCCGTTAGCCTGTGTGATGGGCTCTCGGCCATCTATGTGTATCTGTTTTGTCAAACCTACCTACCTTCCCTGGCCTCCATGTCCCAACTCTCAGTGATCACCCCTGAGCTCACAGGTGGGGCAGGTATATGGCAGTGGGTGGGAAATGCTAAGGATGGGGCAAGAACCCCAGGAAAGGCAGGACTCTCCTAGAGAAGCACTCAGGCCTCGATGTCCAGCTTTGCGTGCTTCCCCTGCGTAGGGTGTCCGCACACTCAGGCCCCAGCTGATGAGGATGGCACCTTCACACACGGGTCCTCACGGTGCCCCAGGCTCTAGGTGTGGCCCATCCGACAGATGTGGTGACCGAAGCTTAGACCCCAGGTCATGCCACTAGTGATGGACTGCAGTGCCTGTCTCCTTCGCACAGCACCATGTGGCATGTTTGGTCCCCCACGTGGACCAGGGCCTGAACTGGAGTCAGTCTAAGAAGTGAGAAATGCCTTATGCTTCCCCAACCCCATAGCCTTCTTCCTTTTATTCTTTGGCTTCTCTAATTTTAAACTTGTTTCCATAAACTGCTCTAAGCAGAGACTGAAGAAGGAAGGTCTTTGAAAGTACGCTTGCTGCGTCCACAGGGCTTGGGATGGGCAGCGTGGGGATGTGTGTGTGGCTGCCTCGGGCTGTTACCCTCTGGGAACCTCCCAGGGGGCTCCCAGCTCAGAGCCCCAGCGCTGCTCGTGTGGCCAGAGCTATGCCTGACATGTGCGTCTCCAGCCCCAGGCCCTGGGTGCCAGGGAAAAGGCTCCTTCTGGAAGAGGGTGGAGTGGACTACGACAGACCGGTCTAGAGAGCCAGTGCTGGACTCAGGCAGTTGGCAGGCCTGCTTCCCGAGCCGACGGAAGCCCTCCACAGCAAGCTCCATGGCCCCCCAAAAGCTGAGGGGACCATGGCAAATGCAGTTCTTTCTCATACCCACAACCGAGCAGCCACCCCCGCCCAGGATGAGGCCGAGGAGGAGGCTCGCAGAGTTGAGGGCTGGCAGCTTTGGCCATCTTCAGGCTTTGCTGTAAAGCACCCACCCCTGCCCCGCCGGCCACCAGAACATGTGGGGGTCTGCAGGGGAGTGGGCTGAGGAACAGGCCTGCCCACTGCAGCCTGCCCAGTCCTAGGCCAGGTGCTGCGGGTGGGAGGGATAGTCGCCGTGCCTTGGAAAGCGTCCATCCCCTGTCTCACCTCCACCCACTTCCCCTGACCGCGAGGGGCCCTAGCTTGGGTCTGGCTGTGAGTCTGGCGGTGAGTCTGGCGGTGATGGCTTTTCTTGTCCTTCAGGTCATCCAGGAGGTGAGCGGCCTGCCTTCAGAAGGAGCGTCTGAGGGAAACCAGTACGCCCCAGATGCCCAGCGCCTGAACTGTCAGAAAGTAAGCCTCTGTCCTGCCTGGGAGAGAGTTCAATTCTCTCTCTTCTCTGTCAAAATTAAAAGTATAAAACTGAATCTTTGCTTTTGCCCGTCAGCCCAATGAGTAAGACATGCACGGTGCCAGTAGCTTCAGGTTGGCAGGAAAACCGATGAAGTTGATCCTTTCTTGCTTGGGGCAGGAAGCTTTATTAGAACAAAGGTCAGCGTGCCCTCCATTCCTAGGCAGGGAAATTCATGGCATGTGGCCCTTCTTTTGCATTTGCTCCTGGTAGAGCTTCGGGGCTGGGTGAACTGTCCCCTTACTGTCCCCTTGTCAATTCCAAAGGGCTCTGTTGCTCATTTGCATGGAGCCATGGGGCCCCTGCTTTGAAGGGCCAAGGTTGAGAAAGTTGGGCCAGGTGCTCTTGGAGGGGAGGGCTGACACCTGTGGCTTCTCAGTCCATGTCACCAAGTATCAGCAGGGAGGTGCCCTGAAGTCTGGGAGCACACAGAACAGCAGCACCGTGTCTCCCTGGGCTCCCCAGCCCTGGCAAGGAAGAGGGCAGAGAGGACATAGATGTCTCAAGTAGGGAGGAGGAAGGCACAGACCATCCCTCTTGGAGTTCCCTGGCCAGGTGTAGCAGTCCTCGAGCCCCCGCCTATGGCCTGCCCGTTGGTTGGGAGTCCCTCAGCCTGTTTCCCAAAGGTCTGGAGGATGTTGTTCTCTGAGAGCAGCTTGTCTGGAATATTCTGAGCGCTTCACATTCTAACAGCAGCAGCCACCACGTGCTCCGAGAAATTCCCAAGTCCCCTAACAGCCCTGGGGATGTAGATGGGGGTATTACCTCTCTCTAAACACATGCACAGCAGGGCCAAGAAAGACTTTTAAGTCGAGCACCTGGTCTGGATGGAGAGTGCTCCAGCCAGGGTTCAGATCATGGTCTGATGCTGTGTAGACAGGCTGGCCCTTCTCTGAAACCTGCTGTGTTAGTAGTACAGTCAGTTCTGCAAAGCCGTCCTCACGCTCCCGGATGGGTGGTTCCCAGCCCGACAGTTTCAGCTGGGATGTCAACTCTAATGCCACCGCTGGGGTTGGCAGCTTGCCTTCGGTGGGGCAGGCATGTTGGGAACTTGGGAACTTGGATGAGTGGTGGCCTGAAGAAGAGGGATGGGGATGGGGATGGGGCAAGGAAAGGTCTCCCAGAGAGCCCGAGGGAAGGCTGGCCAATGTGCCGTCAGTGACCTGGACTCCACGGTGACCTCTAGCCTACACCCAAAAGCTATCTATTAGTTTCTCTTACATTGTGATCCCCCAGGTAACCATTCCCAGACAAGATCACCCACTTGTCTCTCTCTTTTCCACAGCTAGATATAATGGAGAAGTACCTGTCAGCCCCGGAATATGGAAGCTCCATAGATGGCCACCCTGAGGTTCCAGAGGCCAAAGATGGTACCGATGCTTGTGGCTGTCAGCCTGGGCTCGGGAGGGGGATGGTGTCCCAGGCTGCGAGACATGGCTGTCTGGCTCAACCCTCATGGGTTTTAACAGCTGCTTGCAACATGCCTCCAACTTCTAAACTGCTTGGAAATAACACAGCTGATAAGCCCAGGAAGAAGGGAGGGATGAGCAAATTGAAGTCAAGTTTTATGAATTGCTAGGAGTAGAATACTCTTGCATCTCTCCTTGTTTGCTGCTAACCCTTGACCCTATCTCTTTGAGCCAATGCAGTCTGTGAAGATTCTCAAGTGCTGACATAGTCTATGAGGGGAGTTGGTGTGGGGCGCCTGGGTGGCTCAGTGGGTTGATTGTGTGACTCTTGATTTGGGCTCAGGTCATGATCTCAGGGTCGTGGGATCGAGCTCCGCTTCCGGCTCCGTGCCCAGTGGGGTGTCTGTTTGACATTCTCCCTCTCCCTCTGCCCTTCCTGCCTGTGCTTGCACTCCCTCTGTCTCTGTCCCTCTCTGTCAAATACATAACTCTTTTTTTTAAGATTTTATTTATTTATTCATGAGAGAGAGAGAGAGAGAGAGAGAGAGAGAGAGGCAGAGACACAGGCAGAGGGAGAAGTAGGCTCCATGCAGGGAGCCTGATACGGGACTCGATCCCGGGACTCCAGGATCACGCCCTGGGCCGAAGGCGGGCGCCAAACCACTGAGCCACCCAGGGATCCCCACATAACTCTTTTTTAAAAATAGAAATTATTTTAAAAAAAACAAACGAGTTGATGTGCCCCCTTCTTGAGTGTTTGATTCCAGGGATACCTGACTCTGGATTGTGGATCCTGGTTTGGGGAGCAGAGTGTGGGTACGCGCATGCGTGTGTGCGTGTGTGTGTGTGTGTGTGCATGTGCACACACACACACACACACACGGGGTGGGGGGTGCAGAGGCAGTGGGAATGGGTCTGCTGTTTCCATCTTTCGCTGAGGCCTGTCAGCGGGCCGTTGCAATGCTGACGGCTTTTTCTCTCATGTTGACAGTCAAGAAGAAATCTTCTCCTGGCCTCAAACTGAGCAACCTAATGAATCTGGGCAGGAAGAAATCTACCTCGCTGGAGCCTCCGGACAGGTCCCTCGAGACATCCAGTAAGCACCGTAGCTGCCTGCAGGCCCTGCGGGCTCACCCACCAGGCCGGAGCCCGTCTCCAGGAAGGCGGCTGGGACCACGCAGGCAGGGACTTGGGTCTCGCCCTGACCATCTCTGGGGAGGGCAGAGCTGCGGCTCTAGGTTTCTTGACCTTCGCTGCAGGTGGTTCAGCTGCCTGCTGCGGTGCTGGAGCCTTTGCGGAGGGTCCTCCCAGTGGTCTTTAAAAAGTTCTGCTCTTTTGATGAGCATTGAAGGAGCGCGGCGAGCGGTGCTAGGGGAGGGGACCCTGCAGAGGGAGAACACGGTCCTGAGAGCTCACAGCCGAGAGCCGTGCTGGCTTCATACCCCTAAACCACACGCCGTGTCTTCGTAGCAGCGGTAAGGGGTTCTTTCCAGGGACAGAAAGAACATTCCCATCCAAGGTTGGACCCTCTGGGTCCTGAAGATCGGGCTGGAGCTGAATAGGCCGAGGTGGCATCTCTGGGCAGCGGCAAGGCCTCAGAGATGGGGACAGTGAGGCCCCTTAGGGTGACGGAAGCCCGCGCTGCCGGTATGGAGGGGGTGTGCGGGTGCTGCTAGGCTCACAGAGGTCAGCTCTACTCCCCTCATTCTGCTTGAGGAAACTGAGGCCTTTCTCAGGAAATATGCTGGGGGAGCCTCTGTCCTGGCTCTAACCTGGGACTCACTGCTCTGGCTCTTCCCAGGGCCTGAAGGCTGTTCCTCGTGGATCCCTTGTGCCAGCCCTGGGCTCCTTTCCCGAGTCCCAGGTCTGGCTTGTGAGGCTGGCAGAGTGGGTGGGTGGGTGGGTGGGTGGAACCAGAAGTCATCAGATGGGAGCCTCACACTGGGAGCCTCTTAATTCTCTGGGCGGGACACCGGGCAGTGCCCCAGCATTGCCAGCCCCTGCAGCCTCGGGGGGGACCGTGTTTGGCACAGAAACCTGGTCTCAGTGAGTCCCACTGGGAGAGAGGTGGCTGGCTTATTGCTGGAAGTCTCTTCAGCAGTGAAGCATGCTCCTGTCCCCGGTGGCTAGGGAAGGGTGACAGAGAACAGACTTGGCATCTGAGCTCCCTGCTTTCTTGACTCAGAGTTCTCTTTGGTCCAGAGAACTGAGATGGGCAGTGGGGCACTTGCCTGGATGAGCCAGGTTTCCTAGGTCTGGGGCGTGAATTCTTCTACTTTGCTACTGTTCGTGTGGCTCTGAGAAACTCACGATCTCCACTCTTGGCCCAGCACTGGGTGGGCGGGAGGGTGGCCTTGTCCATCCCAGTTAAGGCTCAGAGCAGCTGCAATCCTCTAGAATGGAGAAGGCGTCCACTTTGTAAGCCAGTCCCTCCGGGAAGGTGGGCAGCACGGAGAGGTGTGAATGCACAGCACATGGGGGGTGCAGGGGGTCCCGTGGACTGGATTTTATGCATCTTTGTAGCCCTGGGGACAAGGCTGTGCTTGGCACATGGTGTCAGCTCCGTAAATGTTCCTCTGAGTGGGGGGCAAAGGGAAAGGCTTGTCCTCCTCTTAGGAAGCCGAACCCAACACATGCAACCATCTGAGACTAATAAAGGATGGCATGATGGACGCACCCCAGTGCTGGCAGCCGCTGCATGCCGACAGAGAGGGCGGCTCCCTGGCAGAGAGGCCACGGGCACGCACCCTGGGCGCTGGAGGTGAAGGGGGCAAGTTCCTGCCCTTGAGAAGCTCCGAGTCCGCTGGGGGAGGCTGCATGGAAGCAGGTCTCACTGTTCTGGGATCCACAGGTTCGGAAGGAAGACAGAGCAGGGAGTGCAGGAGCCAGGGAGGGTCAAGCGAGGCCAGCTGGGTTTGGGAGGAGGAGAGGGAGCCGGCCAAGGGGAGCAGCCCTTTGCGGGCTGAGGCTGAGTGACCCGGTGTCAGGGATGCCGAGGAGGCTAAGGCTGTGGAGGCCAGAGGACTGACTGCACCTGCCGCCAGGTGCCCCTGGCTGGGGACCTTCCTGCACGTGGCCTAAGTGACCAGAGTCTGGGGAGGAGGGCCGCTGCCGGTGGGGGCATGGCAGGGGTGGGGTGGGGGGAGCCTTGTCCTGCACACAGACCCAGCCAGCCTGCTCTAGTCAACGACACGACTCCCTCCCCCCGGGACAGACGCGGTCCGAGACGGGAGAGCCGTGCAGCCCACGTTGCCGGGGTCTGGCCGCATGCAGGGGCAGGGGGGAGACCTGCTGAGATCCAGCCCCTTCGGGGTGAGAAAGCCCCTCGGGCAGAGCGGTGACGGGTCTCGGACCTGCGATTCTGGGGGAGACGCTGGGAGGCGCGGCGGTGGCGCAGCCCTGGACACCCTCGTCCCCTCCCGCAGGTTACCTGAACGTGCTGGTGAACAGCCAGTGGAAGTCGCGCTGGTGCTCCGTCAGGGACAGCCACCTGCACTTCTTCCAGGACCGGAACCGGAGCAAGGTGGCCCAGCAGCCCGTCAGCCTGCTGGGCTGCGAGGTGGTCCCCGACCCGAGCCCCGACCACCTGTACTCCTTCCGCATCCTCCACCACGGGGAGGAGCTGGCCAAGCTTGAGGTACTGCTGCCTGCGGGGGCCGGGGCGTGCTGCTCGGACTGTCATCCCACAGTCACTGTCATCCCACAATCGACAATCCAGAGGCAGCGTAGTCTTGCCTTTTTTTTTTTTCTCCCTTGCATTTTACTTCTTCGCATTTAAAAAAAAAAATTTCCATTCCCTTTCTGACCTCAGAGTGCTTGTGTTATAGGAAAGGGACAATGAGCTGCTTCCTGCACTGAGGGCAGCACGAGTATTTATAACTCCCTGAGCGGCTCGCAGAACCTCCTGGGGATTCACAGTGGGTTTGATTTGGTTTGTGTATCACCAGCTGCGGCGCCGCCGTACATAGAGTCGAGGACGATTGTTAGGGCTTATCTGGGGTAAGAATGAGGTTTGTGATACAATTACGTTTCTCCCACTCCCCGCCCTCCGTTGGATGTGATGTTACATTTGCAAAAATAAGAGGTGACCTAATGCCTCGCGCTGGGCAGGCGAGGCCAGAGCCAGAGTTCTTCGCACGCAGGGAAGCACCCTCTGGCTCAGCCCTGTCCACCGGGTCCTTCCCCCGAGGGTCTTCATCCAAACTGTGCTCCAACACTGCCCTCTGGTGGCTAAAAGCTCCACATCCCAGTTACCTCCCGGGGGGGGGGGGGGGAGCCAGGCACAAGCTTGTGTCCATCCATCCATCCAGCTCTCCTGGTGACATTACAGACCCTGAACAGTAGTAATGTGGTGAACAAGACAGATACGCTCCCGGTCACGGACCTTGGATTCTAGTGTGAGGGTGAGATGTTACTCAGCGAATTAGCCAGTGGATGACTTTGTGCAGAAGTCCTGCGGGCTGGGGGCCGGGGCTGAGGGTGGGGTGTGGGCATGATGAGGTTGGGAGGGAAGGAAGGTTGATCCTCAGAGCAATGGGGCGGGGGGATGACCCTGGAAGGTTGCAGGGGATGGTGGCATGCTCAGATTGGGATTTCGAGATGCTTCCTCTGGCAGCTGAGGCAGGGGAACGGATGGAAGGGGCACAAGAAGGGACAAGATGAGACCAGTAAGGAAGCTGTCACAGTTGCCCAGGGCAGAGAGGGTGGTAGCTGGAGCTAAGGATGCCCACGCAAAGCTGGATGGAAACTCCTGCTGGAAAAGGACTGGGAAATGAAAAGCAGCTCGATGTCCAGCTCTGCTCACAGCTGCCTCTCTGATGAAGAAAATGCGGTAATAAGTAGAGCTGTGCTGTGTCATGCCAACGAGGCAGCTGTTTTCTCTTATGAAAGTGAACCTGTAGTATTTACAGAATCCCCCCCCCCTTTTTTTTTTCCATTAAAAAGGTAAGCGGGTAGCCCGAGTGGCTCAGTGGTTTAGCACCACCTTCATTCCAGGGCGTGATCCTGGAGACCTGGGATCGAGTCCCGCACCAGGCTCCCCGCGTGGAGCCTGCTTCTCACTCTGCCTGTGTCTCTGCCTCTCTCTCTCTCTCTTCTCTGAATAAATAAATAAAATCTAAATGAATGAATGAATGGTAAGAAGCGACGTTGGCATTTTAACAGATAACCAGTGTTTGTAAAAAAAAACAAAACAAAAAAAAAACAGGCTCCAGCCTCACTGGGATTTACTTCATTATTTATCAGAGCAAGTGGGCTTGATGTCAGGTGTATTTAAGATGACCTTTATTGTAAGACTGACTTTATTGAAATTGTCAACAAAATAAATTTGAATTTTGTTACTTCTTAGAGATCCGATCTTGTATATACGGATTAGGGTGACAAACTGCCATGTGACAGTGTAGAACATAGAGGTGTCAACCTAGAACGCATGCTCTCCTGGCTCTTCAGCCTCCTAGAAATACATGTGTATGAATCATATTTGATACCTGGGACAAATATCCACAGCATCACCGAGGTGGCATCCAGGTGGCAGGAAATGTTACTTAGAGACACGGGGTTGAGATAGGCTGGTGAAAATGAGAGTGCATGGCCCCCGCCTGTCTCAGAGGCCTTGCCCGTGTGGGCATCCTGGCGAGGGTGCTACTGGCACCCTCCCTCCTACTGGCGCCCACCCAGTAGCTACTCCCCACTGGTTGGGAGGGCTGGGCAGCAGCCGGCACATTCCATCCAGCTCTGCTCATGTCCCTCTCCGCCTCCTCGCAGGCCAAGTCTTCTGAGGAGATGGGCCACTGGCTGGGCCTCCTGCTCTCCGAGTCAGGTTCCAAGACAGACCCAGAAGAATTCACCTACGACTACGTGGATGCAGACAGGGTGTCCTGTATCGTGAGTGCGGCCAAAACCTCTCTGCTGTGAGTGTTACGGGGCCTTCCTGCATCAAATGCTCCCGTTCCCAGCCATGCTTCAAAACGTGGGCCCGGGCTGGCCTCCCGTGACCGGTTCCATCATGCAGGGCAGCAGCTGAGAAGCCAGGGTCAGCCCAGTCCTACCCGGCAGCAGGAAGCCCAGGGCCCAGGAGCAGCTAGCAGCTAGGAGCTGAGCCAGGCCTTGGGCAGGGGGCGGCCACAGCACCCTCGGCCTGGGTGGACACTCTCCAACTCCTTAGGGCAGAGTTGGTGCCTTTCCTGACCATCCACTTTCCTTACTGCTGATGGAGCGCTGGTACTTCTGCTTTCCAGGCAAGCAGAGCGGGCCTGGGGAGAAGCGCTCCTGGGTCAGGAGGGTGGAGGTAGCTCTGATGGAAGCTGGCCAAGCCACTGCAATGGGATCCACTTTCCCTTTTCTGTACAAAAAGGGGGGAGTGTCTGGTCTGGGCCACCCCAGTGCATCGTGATGATGAAATGAGAAAGGATTTTGTGGTTGGAAGGAGGTCCTATAAGGGAGGAATCTGGGCAAGAAGGCAGTAGGATCTGGAGGAGGGGTAGGGGGCAAAGGAAGTTTGTTTTCCTGGAAGAGAAGTTCAGAACTAGGAGTTCCAGTAAGAAGGCCCTGGGAAGAGAGGGAGGAGATATCCCTAAATAGACGAGTTGAAAATGAGGTTGATGCCAGTCCCTGGGTCCCCTGCAGGCCCTCTGGCTCCTACTGCACCTCTCGTTGTCATGAGTCCTCTGCCACTGGTGGCTTTGACCACCCTGTCCTCATCCTCCTCTTGCCGTGTCTTACTGGGTCTTCCAGACTGATGCAGAGAAAGTTCTCAGAGCCGAACACTTATATCGACGGCCTGCCCAGACCAGACCGCCAGGAGATGCTGTACGATGACGTGGAGACGTCGGAGCTGACGGCTGTGGTAAGGACCCAGGCTGGGCAGTGACCTGGGCTGTCCCCATCCTCCTCCCATCAGACTTCGATGCCAGAGATCAGCAGGTTGTCCCTAAGATGGGCGGATTCTAAGTCACCTAGTGCAACAAGGCCATGTTCTGTGCAGTGCTCCTGGCTTGGGGACTTCTCTGGCTAAAATAGCTGGTTAACCATCCTAGTTGGTGTGAGGTGTGGTGTCAGGATCGGGAACAGAGACACCATTAACCTTTGAGGCCCAAACAGATAATAAACAGTCATAGCGAAAGCAGCTTCTGTTTACTAGGCACTGAACTCTGCTGCGCCGAGGGCTTCTGTGGATTATCTGACTTATTCCAAACCGCCTGGGGCACCTGGGTGGCTCCGTGGTTGAGCATCTGCCTTCAGCTCAGGTCATCATCCTGAGGTCCTGGGATTGAGTCCCACATCCGTCTCCCTGCAGGGAGCCTGCTTCTCTGTCTGCCTATGTCTCTGCCTCTTTCTGTATCTTATGAATAAATAAAATCTTACAAAAAAATAATCCTAACCACCTGATAAGGAGGTCCACTAGTCTCTTCTCTACAGATCAAGAAATGAGATTCAGGAACAGTTAGGTACTGTGTCCCAGGTCTCCCACCTCCTGAATGGCAAACCCTGGACTTGAGCCCTGGTCTATAAGTCCAGCTCAGTGGAAACTTTCCAAAGAGGCAGGTCCCCGTGAACTCCAGCTTGAGGCAGGGACAGGAGGCAGGTCTGGTGTCCTCTCCATAGTGCAGGGAGCAGAGGCGATGATGAGAGCCACCAGACTATCTCCCCTCTGCAGGTGGAAACTCCCGAGGAAGCCGCCCCTGTGACAGAAGCTCCCAGCGAATCCCAGCCCGACCGAGTCTACCTGGACCTCACACCTGTCAAGTCCTTTTTACACAGCTCCAGTGGGGCCCAGGCCCAGGCCCCATCCCCACTGCCAGCCCACCTGGAACCCCCAGCTGAGGCTGCCCCTGCAGACTCAGGCCCTGCCCTGGCTGAACCCCTTGTCGAGTCTCCAGAGAACCCCGAGTTGCAGGTGAGGCTGCCCCCCAGCAGGTGAGCCAGCCTCCCCCTCACAGCCCCTGGGCCGGCTGAGCCGTGTTTGCTTTCTCCTGAAGCAGACGCCGCAACAGGAGAGTGCAGACCCTGAGGAGCCTTCCCTGAGAACCACAACAGTCAAAATCCAGACTGAACAGCAGAAGATCTCCTTCCCGTCGAGCTGCCCCGATGCCGCAGCTGTCACCCCAGCTGGCGCCAGCCCTCCTGTGAAGGACAGGTTGAGGGTGGCCACTGCAGGTGCCTGTGCTAGATGAGCTGGATGTTTTGGAAGTGGCTTGGGGCAGTTAGTCTAGATCCTTCCCTTTTAGATGAGGAAATAGAGGTTCAGAGGTGATGGGACTTGCCCAAGGTCACATAGCAAAGAAAGTGTGGGCCCAATTGTCTTGTCTGTCCCTGCCTGGCTGGCCTGGTGTTTAGCTCTGCCCCACTGCCGAAGCCCTGGGGTTGTGTCTGAGCCTGCGCAGTGGGTTGGGATGGCCCTTGTGTCCCAGCCTGGCTCACCTGGGGCTTCTCCTCTCTGGGTCTGTAGAGATCAAACTTGGCAAGAATAGGACAGAAGCCGAGGTGAAACGGTACACAGAGGAGAAGGAGAGGCTCGAGAAGAAGAAGGAAGAAATCCGGGGGCACCTGGCTCAGCTCCGGAAAGAGAAACGGGAGCTGAGAGAGACTGTGTTAAAGTGCACAGGTGAGAGGGGCACCTGGGTAGGTCAGTGGGTTAAGCGTCTGCCTTCAGCTCGGGTCGTGATCCTGGAGGTCCCTGAATCGAGCCCTGTGTCAGGTGCCCTGCTCTGCAGGGGAGCCTGCTTCTCCCTCTCCTTCTGCTCCTCACCCCACTCGTGTGCGCTCTCTCGCTCTCTCTCTCTCTCTCTCTCTCTCTCAAAATCTTTTTTTAAAAAAATGCACAGGTGAGGGGACTGACTCCAGGGTGGAGAGTGGGGGGCAGGGAAGTGCTTGGACTTTCCTTGGGAAGAATCCTGATCTGTGCACCTGCCTGCAGCCCCTCAGCCGTCACCCCATCAATCTTTGCTGCAGCTGGGTGCTCCCCTGCCATGTTCTCCCCCCTGCCCTGTCTGAAATGTTGCTATTCTGTATAGAGATCCCCTGACCTGATGTCAACAGGACCAGAAGGTAGTGGTGAAAAAAAAACGGTCAGAGGAGGAAATCTCTAAAAATTACATGTTTAGACCCATAATGTTTTATTTTCACTTAAACGTATTTCGTCTTTCAACGTGGTGCCAAGGCCTTTGCCTGAGACGTGGCCTGTGCCCCCTTTCCTGCGTTAACTGCACCTGTACCACGGCATCCAGCATCTCCAGCCTTCATTTCTTCACAGTGAAGAAAAATTTAAGACCCTTGCAAAGAAATCAGAGTCTTTGTAGATGATTTTCCAGATCCTACCCCCTCATCACTCAGGAGCCATCTCCTAGAAGAAACTTGCCTTTTATGGGACCTTTCTGAAACATGCACCTCATTTTCACTTACAGAGTGCAGCTCGGTGCTGACCTAATAATTAATTCGCACAGTTGCACCCACAAGCCCAACTGGTAGAACCAGGTTTGAGGACAAACCCAGCCGCCTCCTGGGAAAGCTTAGAACATGATTGCGCTCCCGTACCTCCTTCCACTGGAGTCACCCACTTCCTTTGTCCTGTAACAGCTCTACCGAGATGCAGTTCGCAGACCATACCACCCACCCACTTACAGTGTACAACACCACGGTGGTGGTTAATATCTTCCCAGATCTGTGCCACCAGCACCAGTGACCCTCAGAACATCTCACCACTCATACTCCTTAGTGGTCATTCTCCCTCCCACCCTCCCCTGACCCTCAGTTCCCTAGGCAACCACTAATCTGCTTTCTGTCTATAAATTTGTGCCACTGGTTTCAAAGGCTCAGTGGTGTTGGCTGCTGGTGCGCAGAGGAAAGGAGATGTCCTTTCTACCCAGCCAACATTGCAGAGCTGGGACGTGTGCTAACCAGCATGACCAGAGGCTCATCCCCGACAGTCCTTGCAAACCTGGGGCGTGAGCTGGGCGGTGAGGCAGGGCCAGGGATTTCCCACCCTTCTCTCCCATGTGGGTTTTCTGGACAGGAGAAAACTTCCACTATGGTTTATTCTCCTGGCAAAGCAGCCCTGAAGATCCTAGGCCAGTAAGTCCACAGAGCATAGGAAAGTAATTCTCAGACTCCGGGTCCAGAACCATCGTTAACATCTTCTCAGCTTGTTCTCTGTGAATTTTTCTTTCACAGTGGGCCCTGTGCCTGCCTGCCCTTGGACAAGGGCTGATGGTGGGGGGGGGGGGGCGTTATTCACCCTGGGCTTGGAAACAGGGCATAAGTCATCTCAGTGGCTGTTGGCTTGGGACTCTACTTGAACCCACATGGCACCATGGGCTCCCCTAGCAATGAGCTCTGAGCCATCAGTTCCTGGCACTTCAGTACTAACCTAAGAACTCCAGGGTGAGAATAAAACAGGACTGAGGAAGAGCCAGGGCTGGGGACCTCCCAATGGGCTTAGGGGAGCCCTGAGCACCAGAAGGACTGAGGGGACTATGTAGGCCAGGTGGGAACAGCACAGCCATCCTCCAAGGGTCATTAATAAAGCTGCTCTCTCCCTGGGGGGGTTGCTGCCACAGTAGCCAGTATCGAAACAACTGAGAGCCCCTAAGAACCTACCAGAAGGTTCTATACCTCAGACGCATGCCCTCCTGTGAAGGCAGAGCCGTCTTCCCACAGCGTATTCCTTCAGCCTTTGCAGAATGCTAACATGAGGCCCACTCTGGGTGCCAGGGCTGGAGCTGGGCCCCACCCCCCCTGGGGTGCCGCTCCCCACAGCCAGCCTAATTCCCTCCGCAGACAAGGGGGTCCTGGCCAGCCTGGAGCAGAAGCTGAAGGAAATCGATGAGGAGTGCAGGGTCGAGGAGAGAAGGCGTGTGGACCTTGAGCTCAACATCGTGGAGGTGAAGGACAACCTGAAGAAGGCGGAGGCCGGGCCCGTGACGCTGGGCACCACCGTGGACACCACCCACCTGGAGAGCGTGAGCCCCCGGGTGAGCGGTGGGAGTCCCTGGCGCCGGGCTGGGGGAGGCAGGTCCCATGCCCTGCCCTGGGCTGAGGCCTCGTACTCCTCTCGCCACTACAGCCCAAAGCTGCCACCCCCACCCCTGCCCCAGACTGCACCCCAGTCAACTCTGCTACGGCGCTCAAGAACAGGCCGCTTTCGGTCATGGTCACGGGCAAAGGCACCGTCCTCCAGAAAGCGAAGGTAAGTGGTCACTCGTAGCCTTCTTCGGGGCCCCCCCGGGGGGAGATGGCAGAGCTGTGGGAGGAGGTGCCCCCCCCTCCCCGGGTAGCACCTCCCTGCCTCGGGCACCAGCACTGAGAGGGCTCTGCTCTCACGCAGGGGCTGAGGCTCTGCGGTGCCTTTGGCTCTGACCACCCAGAAAGGCGAGCACTGGGGTCCGGGGTTCTTAGCAGACAGCCTGAGGACATGTGATCCTGCAACTATCCACCGCTCGATCATCTGTAGGTTCCAGGGCAATAAGCCTAAGTTCAGAGACGGGCTGGGACTGGCCAGTTTTCAAATAAAAAAGTCTGATTCTAAAGGCTTCTGCCATTAAAAGTAAAGAAACAGGTTCAGACAGGTGATAGGATTTGCCCAAAGCCCCCGAGCCGACTGGTGGTGGAAGGCTCAGTAAGGTGGAAGCAAGGACAGGATGCCCTTTCTGGGTTCCTCCCTGAGGGCTAGAAGTCTTTTACTCATGTGCACAGTAAAGAACATGCCCAGAGCAACTTTTGTTTTTGGCAAACTCTGCTCCTCATTTCTGTCCTGCTTACCTGCAGGAGATATTTTGAGGCACCTGCACCGGATGACTGACTACTCAGTCCACCAAACACATGAGCCGCTACTCCCTTGCTGCTGTGGCCAATATTGCCAATCACTCCCAGCATGCTCTGCAGTGCTGCAGCCTCAAAATCTCGTAGCAGGTGCCCCAAATCGTGAACAGACAAGGTTGAAACATAGCTGCCAACTCTATTCCTCAGTGCTTCTGTGCTTCAAAAAAATACTTCTTACGTTGTTCTATGTAGATGGAGGCTGCTACATAGGATAACTAACTTTCCTTCTGGGGGTGGGTGGTGGGGGGTGCTGGAATTTGAATGGTACTCTAGGAATGGGAGAAGAAAGGAACAAGTTAGGAAACAAGCTTCATCTAAAGACTCTCCTGCCATCACGGGCCTTGGTGACAATCCAGCTTCGTTAAAGTCTTCATTAAAGCAGCAACTCTCTGAAAGGGTGAGTCTGCTCAGAAGAAAAAGGATGGACTATGGTACTCTGGGTGGAGAGCACTGGCTAAGAGGGGGCTCTGTCCATTTTCAGAGCCAGAGGAAATAACTACAACAATAAAGAGAAGGCTTCTTGGGAGACCTAATAGTTCCTGGGTAGAAACAAGACATTGCTGTAGTTAGAGGTGTTCTGTGTCTCTGAAATTTTCATCAACTGCTTTATCAAGCTTTTTTAAGTAGTGAAAAGCATCTGATGGTGGGACTTTGGTGGAAAAGAAATCAAGGTAGCAAGACCCTGTCCCACTGGTCGTGTGGCTTGGGTGACCCAGGAGACCCCAACTCCTGATTGTCATCTCTCCTCCATGTGTCGACACCTCTCCACCAGGAGCAGGTGCGGCTCAGTCTTCTGTGGTTTTAAACAGCATCGCTACCACCTGTGTAAAAGCCATCCCTGACATGCTTTTTGAGAAACAGTAATGGGAAGTTACGTGGGACCAAGCCGAGGTAGGGGCTGTCCCCACTAAGTTAAGGACTTTTTTTTTTTCAGCCTAAAGCAGGCCTGAACCCATTGCTTTTATTATTTTTTTTTTAAGATTTTATTTTTTTATTCATAGACACAGAGAGAGAGGGGCAGAGACACAGACAGAGGGAGAAGCAGGCTCCACGCAGGGAGCCCGATGTGGGACTCCATCCTGGGTCTCCAGGATCACACCCCAGGCTGCAGGTGGCGCCAAGCCGCTGCGCCACCGGGGCTGCCCTGAACCCATTGCTTTTAGATAAAAATTTATGTGATGCTGTATTATATAGAAAAAGTTTAAAATCTTGTAATTTAGAACAGTGAAAAGTGTCAAAAAGTATCTTTTTGAGCTCTGACTTTTTACATTAGCGTAGGAGGAAAGATGACCCACTGTTTACAGATGCCGTCCTGTGGCTGGGCCATTTTTAGGGGAAAAGTTCATTAAGTCCTGCTAAATGTCCACGCGCCTTCCAAGAAAAATGTAGTGAATTCTGTTTTGGGTTGACTCCTCCTCCTCCTAAAATTGGCAGAGCTGTTTTTTGTGTCTTCTCTTCTGATGCAGTGTTTTGTGTGTTTTTTTTTTTTTTTTTTAACACCAATTGAAACATTTCATCTGCGGTTCCTGCCTTGTTTCTGGGGGTTTGTCAATCAGAGTTCTCTAACACTGGCTCCTGAGAACTAAAGGTCTTTCGATTTCTATTATCTTTCTAATCCCAGGGCATTTATTTCCTTTGTCATATACACTTGGTGTCCTTTACCAAGTGGTGAGTTCAATTTTTTTTTTTAATAAAACATTAATTGTATTTTGGGTTTTTCTTGTAGTTGATAGAATGACTTGGGGGCAGTGCCTGGTAGAAATCTTCCTTAAAGGGGGAAACATCTTGGTTATTTATACATTAAAGTTCAAAATATGTGCAATAACAACTGCACAAGGTGCCATCCTAGCAGGAGACTTGACGCCTCCTTAACTCAAGCAGCACAGGTAGGGCTGGAAGAGGATTTTCTCAGTAGAACATAAACGAAACACATAGGATCGGTTTCTGCAGATAAGAGGCTGGAAACCAATGGTCCTAGAAGTTAGACACGCTCATAAATAATGCTTGGGGAAAAGAAACATACCAATACTTGGAAGCTTGCCTAAGGAGTAATTAAGAAAGCTCCATGCATGAATGTGTTTATTTTAAAAAAGGATGAAATCTGGCTCATTGAAATGACTAATACAATAAAGAGACAAGCTAAGGCAAAATTAAATCCCAGAATTGAAAAAAAGGCCTTACATTTGAGGAATAAGTATTTTCCATTTTATAAAGTCAGCCATTTGGTATCAGAACAATGCTAACACAAATCACAGGAGAAAACCAGATCTTTGGATTTTCTGGACAAAGATGAAAAACCTTAATATTGTTGAATGAAATTCAACAGTGTTTAAAGAATCACATCATGACCAGATCATATTTCTCCAAGGAAGCAAAGATGGTTCAACAATTAAAAATATACTAATGTGCCATTTATGATATGAACAGATGATTAAATGTTAAAAACATCATCTCAACACCATCTCAAAGGAAGTGGAAAAGCATACCATAAATCTCAACACTCCTAATAAACGCTTTGAGCAATCCAGGAAGAGAAATAAAGTATTTCTAATAATAAAGTATTCCTAACAAAGTAATCCACAGAAAATAACATAGAATGATGGACGATCCCTTCAGTTCCAGAAACAGATACCACTACTTTTTAAAACATTATTCCTAGGTCCTAGACAATGCAAGCTGACAAGAGAAGTTCCTGGTATAAACATCAAAAGGAAGAGAGGAGTCTCATTATTTATAAATATCTTTCTATAAAAGAGAATTAACTATTAGGACTAGAGCATCCAGCAAGTTGGCTGGAATCAGGGCCATTCAGAACATAAAAGATTGATGTCCTATCTGCAGTTTAATTTTTCCAAGAACAAATTTTTATGTTACTTGTGGAATTAAAGGTCAGTTTCTTTAAAAAGAAAGGAATTACCTGTATCACTACTGGGGTACAGAGAGGGCACCTTCCATAGAAAAGGTCCAAAAAAAAAAAAAAAAAAGGCTCGAGGGCTGAGACCTAAAAATAGAAAGAGCCTTTCACATGTATGCCCAGAGCCCACCATTCTGTGGTGTGTTTTTTTAGGTTGAAGCAATTCAAATGGAGCCCTGACCAAGTCAAAGAGCCTACGCTATAAAATGATGAAATTGCTGTTAATTTAAAGACAGTGAGTTCGTGTAAGTTCTTTGACATCACCTCTCAGCACCTGCCAGGTGGACATGTGACCATGCTCTGATGTCACCTTCTGGCATGGTCTAGGTAATCATGGGAGTGAAAATATCCCTTGAACACCAATGACTGTGTCATAACTACGCTTAGTACCGCTGGACCTTTCCTTTGTAATGTCTAACAGCAGCCTCTGGATGACCTCTTCCAGTACTTTAAATCAAAGTAGCCTTGAATATTTGCATGTAAAAACCTTTACGTTATTTACATTAAAAAGAAGAGTCAGGATAAAGTGTCTGGATTTAGGACACAGCTCTACAAAGGTTTCTACTGAAAACCCAAATCCAAACAAGGGGAAGAAGTGTTCCCTAAAAACTGCAAGGGTGAGTTCCTAGTTTGCCAGAAAAATGTCCCAACTGAGCCTTCTTGCCACATGAGGTCCTGTGAAATAACCAACAGCATTTCTTAAAGTATTCCTTTCAAAACCAGACATGAAAAGCAAAATCACCTAGACAACAGAAGATCGATGCTTCAAAAAGCCAATACCCTCTAAAGTTTCTTTATGCCTTATTTGCAGAGTTTAAGAATTCCACTCCTTGTGCTACTAAAAATTCAATCCTTGAGGACAAGCAATAAGCACCCCACAATGAGCCCCCTCTCAGTAATCCCTCAAGCAAGTCCTTCCAAGGGAATGTAGCCCAGGACATGGGTCAATGTCATCTGGCTCCTGGAGACCAGGATGATTTGCATGCTCGGCCCCTTCCCTGTAGTCAAACAAGTTAGTGGTCATATTCCAGTCCAGAGTTTTTCTAGGTCTTTGTCACACACAGTCACCAAAAGTCACAAATGCCACTCAAGTCCCTTCTCAAACTAAAAGCAAATCCACTTGGACATCTTTGGGAAAAGACCTATGAAAAGGTCCACAGTTTTCCAATCTTGAAATGCTATGGCTTCAGTGGTCCAAATGACACTCTAGTCCACGCCTCCTCCTGAGCATCACCATCCCAACAGCGTTCTATTTAGCATTTGTTATGCGCAAAGCGAGCTTTCAAACAGGCCATCAAAAGTCTCCAAGCTCCTTTAGCTTCTCAGAGGAAGTTGGCAGAGGAAACAAGCTCACCAGGGCAAGGTCCAGGTACAGAAAGTAGGTATTTACTTACGCATCACGACTTTTCAACATCTGCATTAGTAGTGGGATCAGCTGCTACTGTGTCCCCAAGCAGTGTGGTCTGCAGTAGGGACAGCTCTTCTCTGTGACTGAGGGAGTGGGCAGGAGGGTTCCGCACAGAGCTAGAGGCAGACGCTCAGAGGACCCGGGGAGACAGGACAGGACAGGGCAGGCGTGCTCTCAGGGTCGGGCACCAAGGCCTTCTGGGCAGTTGCCGAGGAAGGGTAGGGCTACTGCCCTCCTGCGGGTTCTCGGCGGGAGCCACGTGCCTTGGGGGCGTCTCCTCTCAAGGACCCTGGGAGAGAAGTGAACCTTGAGGACAGGAGGAGGGTCCGAGTCCTCTCCTCACCAGCGGGCAGCCTGTGCACCCCTGCATGTCTCTCTCGCTCCACAGCCCAAGCAGAAACGAGATCAGAGGCCTATCTGATTGCCTTCAGGTCCAGCCACAGGAAGCCACACTCTGCTGGTGGCTGAAAATCTAAAGCTCTGAGGGGTGTCTTCTTCTGGTTGCTGGTTCCTCTAACTTGAAATTCATGAGCAGGAGCCCTAGGAAGCCATAATGCTGCCCACCGTGATGGACTGTCTGGTGCAGACCCCTTCTCTCCTGGACCGTGACTGCTCTCGGCTCCTACCACCAGTGCCTCCTCCCGTCTTAGTGAGCAGAGAGAAACACTCCAGCACCTTCTACCTACCCACCCACCGCACCTGTGCCCTCGTCCTGTCTTCCAGCCACTCCACCCCCACCGTGCTCCCAACACAGGCCTCTCTAGAGACCCTCCTCCCAGCCGCTGTTTTTCTCACATAGGCCTAGCACCACCACACTGCAGGTTGTTCTTATTCACTGCCCGTCTCCCCCACTGGCATGGGAGCTCCAGGAGGGCAGAGCTTCTCATCATGCCCCCAGCACAGCACCTGGGATGTGGGCGGCCCCCCCACCGAATATTTCATGCGGGAATGAACAGACAATTGCAGGTGGCCTTCTGCTGAACGGACACCTCAGACCCTGCCTTCACCTGAGTCCCTAGGGCTCAGCAGGTCTGAAGGCCCCTGCCCTCCACCCCCCTGCCATGCCCCACAGGCAGAGCCAGAGCCCCACTTACGGTTCCCACAGTGGGGGCCCTGCCAGCCATCCCGGCACTCGCAGCGGTAGCTTCCGTTCTGTAGGACACAGGTGCCCTCATGCAGGCACGGGCTGGGTTTGCACAGGTTGACTGGCTGCTTGGCTTCTACAAGAGAGAACAGGCCCAGCGAGCCCAGCCTGGGTCAGCCCCAAGGCCCCCCCCACCAAAGAAGACCACTGACCCACCCCGGCGTCCCTGTCCTGGGCAAGTGTCTGCCTTCTGCTCAGGGTTTGATCCTGGAGTCCCGCATTGGGCTCCCTGAATGAAGCCTGCTTTTCCCTCTGCCTGTGTCTCTGCCTCTCTATCTGTGTCACTCATGAATAAAGAAAATCTTAAAAAAAAAAAAAAAAAAAAAAAAACCCAGGACAGTGGTGAGGCCACAGAAGAATGTCTCACACTTCTCAGTGTCAGCACATAGTTGGTGGCCCATTCTGCTTGGCTAGATCAGAGACCCAACTTTCACCTGGCTCACCTACTGTACACAGAGACTCTCATGTCTCAAATGTGCTGTGCACACAGTAGTGTTTACTATTACGGATACACTTTTAAAGAGACAGAAAGGGGGTCACTGGCAAAAATATGCCTTGGGGCCAGGCTGGCCTGGCTGGGTTTGTTCCTAGCTCTGTCATCACTACAGGTCAATGTCAGCCGGGTCCTTAGATTCCTGGGAGAATCTGTAGGTATCCTAGCAAGGTCTTCTGTTCCAATGAAGTGCAAAAATTCTCGAGTTTGGGGAGAGGTACTGGGGTCACTTAAACTCTCTGCACCATCAGATGGGGCCAGCTGTGCCCACTGCAGTATTTCATGTGAACCGGGAGGTTAGCACAGAACCCAGCACTCAGAAAGCATGGGGTAGCTGGGAGGCACTGCCATCCTTGCAACCCTGTACCTGAGGGCTCAGGCTGAGTTCCCTCCCCTGGGGGGGGGGACACCGTAGGCCGGGGACTCCCCCACTTACCTCCACATATCCAGTGGATGAGTGCATCCTGGTGGTACCTCAGGTCTGCGTAGGTGGCCACGTGGATCAGGGCATCCCGGGGACCTGCGAGCCTCCGCAGTGCCTCCCTCAGGACAGGCCCCACTCCCACCACCAGCACAGAGATGCCATTGTTCCTCAGCTTTTGGACAGGGACAGCTGCGTCCTCCGCGCCCATCCCACCTGTGAGCACCACCACAGCCTTGGGGACGCCAGGCCGGGCGCCCCTCTGGATGGTCATCACTTTGTCGTAGACGTGCAGCAAGGCTGTGCCTGCAGAGCCCGCCCCGCCCA